CAGAGACTGCGGACACAGTGCAGGAGATGACCAGAGACTGCGGACACAGTGCAGGAGATGACCAGAGACTGCAGGGAATAACCAGAGACTGCTGACCTTTAGGGAGGGAGGGGGAGCGGGTACCTGAATTTGACAGGTACCCGCTTCCCCTTCTGTGGAGTTGTCCTTCCCGGGCCGGCTTCTGTGACAGCCGGGTGCCCACTGCGCATGTGCTGTGCTTTGTGAATGGCCCGGCGCCTTCTGGGACCTGTCATGTGTCCCAGAAGACAGCGGATCATTCACAAAGCGCAGCACATGCGCAGTGGACACCCGGCTGTCACAGAAGCCAACGGAGGAAGACTGTGCAGCGCTGGAGTGAGGAACAGGTAAGGCCCTGCAGGAGAGAACAGCTGAGCGGCCGGCCCGGTATTCTGACATGGTGGTGGCAGAAATACCGGACCGGCCCCTTTATATTCGCTCCATAAGACGCACTGACATTTTCCCCCCTTTTTTGGGGGGAAAAAAAGAGCGTCTTATGAAGCGAAAAATACGGTAAGTGGAAATCTACTTTAAGAATTCCTGTGTCCCTAAATGAATGATAAAGAAATCTGCCTGACAGTTCTCCACTTTTGATACATGCACTACAAAGATTGCTCGAGTTTCTGTTACAAATACCCACCCACATAGCCTTGGTACAAAACAATCTCAAACCGTTATGATCTGTGACAAAAGACTGCTGCAGCTCGAGCCCAATAGTTCCACAAGAAAACCCAGTTATATTGGCCTGGCCAAAAGCCAAATACTGTGCTAACTGGAACATAGGTGAGTATTCACTGCTAACTGCAGGACTGTCACAGAGAGCACATGCTATACCTAATAAACTGGGAAAACCCCGTACTCAAGTGGAGAGACTTCAAGGATTTAAAAATATCTGGCCAGAATCGAACAGTAGCTGTTGATAGTAGAAAACTTTCCAATTCAAGTGAAAAATATAGCAGAAAGGAAAGACATCCCTTCTCCTACAGACACTAGACAGAGCTGAGCAGGTGTGAGGTGGAAGGGGTCATAGTCTCAAGGTGGTGGGCCTTCAGATTTCTATGTGCCTAGAGAGTCCATTTCTTCTGCAGGTGACAGTATAACCCTAAGTGGCTCAGTTATCAAACAGTGTTCAATGGACAGTAGAGAAATAGTTAGATTTTTCTCAACAGAGCTGAAGACTTCCATCTTCCTAGTACAATCAGAGGGAAAAAAATGCTGGTCTGGAGTTTGTTAGTGTTTAACCATTTCAATACCGGGCAATTTTACACCTTCCTGCCCAGGCCATTTTTCACGTTTCAGCGCTCTCACACTTTGAATGACAATTGCGCGGTCATACAACATTGTACCCAAACTAAAATTTTATCATTTTCTTCACACAACTAGAGCTTTCTTTTGGTGGTATTTAATCACCGCTGGGGTTTTTATTTTTTGCTAAATTAACAAAAAAAGACCAAAAATTTAGAAAAAAACCCACGTTTTTCTTTGTTTCTGTTATAAAAGTTTACAAATAAATAATTGTTCTTCATAAATTTAGGCCGAGATGTATTCTGCTACATGTCTTTGGTGAAAATAACCCAAATTAGGATGTATTATTTAGTTTGTAGGAAAGTTATAGAGTTCACAAACTATGGTATAGATCTGAAAAATGATCAATCCTGAAGTACTGACAGCCAATCTAATTTCTTGAGGTCCAAGAATGTCAGAATAGTACAGATATCCCCAAATGACCCCTTTTTGCAGAGTTGACAGTCCGACGTACTTCATAAGAGGCATGGCGAGTTTTTTGAAGTTGTATTTTTTTTTGTCATAATTTTTCGGAAAATGAAAAAATTTAAAAATTATTTTCACTATTTTTTTTTTTACATACTGTCACCAGTGCAGTACAGCGTCATCGTATAATTGGCATGGCGGTGAACAGGGACACTGACTAGTGACAGTATGAAAAAAAAAAATATATATTTTTTTTCTTTATTTTTTTTATTGTTTTTAATTTTTTATTACATTTTTTTTTTTTAAAGATTTGTTTTCATATTTTACTATGACCAAAGTAGTACAATGTTACCATAGTAACATTGTACTACTTTGGGGAAGTGATCAGTATTTTTTTTTTTTTTTTTTTTTACACAATTTGCTTATAGCAAAGAATTATTTTGCTATAAGCAAGCATTTACCTGAATGACATCTATTCATTCAGGGGTTTTTTTTTTTGTGCTTAGCTGTGATTTGGCCACAGCTAATCACATGACATGTGCATGTGACCTGCTGTGACCATTCACAGCTAGACACTAGTATACAATGGATGGCATGAATGAAGCCATCCATTATATACAACTGTCATGTGACCTGCTGTGATTGGTCACAGTAGTGATTGGTCACATTGGTCTGAGTACCGGCAACGGGGGCCAGTACTCAGATCTGTCATTGGCCGTGTCCGAGGTACGCGGCCGGTGACAGATCGCGCCGCTGCCCGGCTCTGCAACCGCGCATGTGTGGGAGGACGCCAAATGGCGTACACCCCGGAGAGCTACAGCATTTTTGCGGCCGCCAAACGGCTATAGGCCGGGCGGCTAATGGTTAAAGTGAACTTCACTCCTTATGCTTCTAGCATTATTAAATAGATAGGAAAGTATATATTAACTTGTTTTAATTTTTTTCATTTTTTACCAGTTACCTCCTGGTTTCCATGACTAGGCAAATTATGTCATACATTCCAGGAGCCATTAGGAGGGGTTTTCCCAGCTAAGCACACCCTCCTCTGTCTGCATGCCTGAGATAAGGGCAGGTGGATTCCAGGAAGTAAATGCTACATGAATCATCTGCCCTTATTTAAGATGGCCATAGCCAGAAATGCTAGGGGGATGTATTTCAAAGTGATTTCTCAGGAAAATAAAGCATGGAGATATGGAAGGATGGGGGAGTTTGCTTTCAATATTAAAAATGAATCAAATCGCATTTTTGATTTGTAGCACTTATATGCAGTATAGGTCTGCTTTAACGCTCCTGTAGGAAGGTGTGTAACTCGAAGTTGAATGACATCCTATATTCCTCAATTGATGAGTAAGAAAGTATGCCCAATAATTAAGAATTGACTATCATGGTGTGTTAAATCACATTGTATATGTGCATTAGGGTAAAATTAAAAATAGACAAAAAAAAAAAGAATACTGTAAAATCCTTTTTTGTGGAGTTCATTGAGGAACATGGGAAATCTGATACTGTCAGGTTATACTGCTGCCCAGATAGTAGATATGACACTGGCAAACACACACTGTAACCCAGCCCACTGCTTGAAAGTCACATCGTAGACTAGCCATGAACATCCAGCCCAGCATGGTCCGCACATAGCTATCCAAGAACAGCTTCCCCTAGGCTTGACTTTGAAGTGCTATGTAGAGGCCAGTGTGATGTCCTGAGCAACCATAATTGAAGCTGACAGATAAAGAATCTGAAGAGTCACACTGAAGGAAATAAAAAGGCTGGCAAAGATTGGTTAGACCTTATGCAGTACAGTGCATTATGCGAATGAGTTACACATCACACTGTTGTGTGAACTAATCATGGGGGTGTTATCTCGAGCCCTTTCACAACAAACCTTATGAATCAAAGTGTCAATGCTAAGAATAGTCTTCATAACCCACTCACTGCCATCAAAGTCAAATCTGTCCTAGAAGATGGTAACAGGCGTCTGAAAGTTTTCATAGGATTGGTGGCTATGATGAATATAGAGCGCCTTTATATAAAAAAAGAAAAAGCCTTGTAACAAAGTTTGCGTTGGTCATTTTAGCAACATAAATAGGAGAGACAAGTTAAAAACAGCCTAAGAAATGTATTTCATTTCAGAAAATATACAAGAGTTCTCAGAAGTGGTTTTAAGCTCAGCATCTGTACATAATTCACTGAATTAGTCCTGTACACGATTCACAAAAGAAGCATTGACATCACACAGCAGACATGAACAAGGACAGGGCATGAAGCAGGAATACCATCAGTCATTTGCTTCAAAGTTGTAAAGCTGACCATAGAAGGGCAAAAGTCCCACTGACAGTAAAGGACAGCCAGACATCTCCGTGTCCTCAAACTCATCGCCAAAGCCCCGGGATCAGCTAAGATATTTTACCAACTTACCCAGGTTTTTAACTGTACAGATAATGGCAAAATTCTGGTGTCTAAAATGGAGTTTCACTTGTATCACTATAAATTAGTACAACTGAGGCACAAGACATTGTGAGGCTCATACCTGGCAGGAAATTGGTTAATCTTATCTAAGAACAGAATCGAGTGATCTGTAATAATTAGAAACCAGCTTCATATTTACAGTGACAAGGCATTATGGAGAAGATACCAAGCAATTCCAAAAGCGACAGGCACCCAAATCTTTTGGTGCACAGCAGAGTTCCATCTTTATCCTTCTGTAAGATATGATCATTCTAGCTATCCACTTCAGGCTCTAGAGGGAGATTGTTCATGTAAACAGCAGGTGTATTTCTTTGGATTCTGGCTCCATTTTGGTGAGGGAAGGGTGCCCATAGTTCACTCATTATCTCCAGCTCTGGGAATGAAGAGGTGTCCATTATGCCACGGACATTGGAAGCAGGGCAAGTTGATAGATAAGGAGACCAAGATAAGGAAGTATTTGGCATCCCATACACATCTCCTTAGAAGAGCAATCAAACATTACTGCAAAAATGTATTTCCCTTGATGGAAAAGAAAGAAAAAAAAAAAAAAAAAACAGTCTGCCAGGCCCATGTTGCCTTTTCCTCGAACTCCTGCACAAAATTGTCACTGAATCTTTGTGCAGAAATGCATGCAATGGTTATGTCTATAAACCTAGGTACATATAATACAATCCTCAGTCAGTTGTTTGTCTTTTAGACATATTGACCCTTGTGTTAAAATCAACTTTTTATACAGCAATTAGAAACTTTAGATACAGGATATTTACACAAAAGGAATGGGTTCATAGCACACTGCTGCTTCAAGTTCATTTCCCATCTGAAGAGGACTTGATATCTTTAATGTTGTAATCGTTTGCCACTGACACCGCGTTTTGGAGAGCACGGATAGCTGCAAGCAGCTTTACTATCTGCCGGATCTGGTCCCTGGGATACAAAAAAGAGTATATGTGAGGAAGAAGAGAAAAAATGGTAAGATTATCACTTCAATGTTTTATATATAACCGCTCAGTAGTCAGCTAAGTAAACTGTTCATTAAACAAACAGCCAAAAAGTGACTCAAGTGACAGCAACTTATACAATGGGTAAAATAAGTATTGAACACATCACCATTTTTCTCAGTAAATATATTTCTAAAGGTGCTATTGTCATGAAATTTTCATGTCTGTAACAACCTTTACATACAAAGAAACCAAAACAAATAAGTTCAGAAATTAAGTTGTGTAACAAAATTGAAAGGTCCCTGTCAGCAAGTACAGTGGGACCCTTGCATCCTGTGTGAATACAGTAGCCTCTCTGCAGAGATTCAACATAACAGAGTTTTAGGTTTGATCCAGTAGGGGTTATCAGCAAAGCTCATGCTACCTGCTGACTGAAGAGCACTAGCTCAGAGGGTGTGTGTTGGACCTCTGCAGAAAGACCACTGCTCACAGAGAGCAAGAGCCACATTCTACAGCATGCCGATAAGGGAACATTTTTCACTCAGGCTATGGCTGCTTTAGAAAGAAAACTGTAAGGGCTCGCTTACATTTGTGACAGCCCTTGCCGCCTCTCAGAAAACCAATCTCTGGTGGAAATATACAAAACATAAGCCAAAAAAAGGTCTGACTGAAATGCAACCTGTCCCTATCAATCATTGATAACATTATTATAGCTCTAGATATTTAAAGATATAGAGAATAAATAGACCGACACAATCTCACCTGGCATTTCGTTTCTCTACATCTGAGCAGCCAACATTCTGTCTGTAGATGACACCGGAGAGATGTGTAAGATAGCGGGCAAAGTTCTCCAGCTGTGGAATCGTTTTGCCACCTTTGAGGTTTGAAAACCACTGCTTAGGAAAACAAGCAATGACCTGTAAAAAAAAAAAAAAAAAAAAAAAAAAAAAAAAAAACCAAAAACATTTTTAGTGGCACGTGCAGAATAACAGAAGCAGGGAAGAGATGAAGACAGTAGTAATATCAATATGGGGGAGTTTCCTGTATCATCTTTCCCGGAAATGTAGGACACATCCCAAGGGGTTTATAAAAGACCTGAATATGGGTTCCTCTGCTTATTATGTAATTTGACATCAGCTCACGGTAATACAAAGCAATATGACAATTTTCCTGCAATACTTTTATGTTAGTTAACAGAACACCCAAGGGGGTCCATTTATCAGCATCTGAAATCACAGTTCTTTGAGAACCTAGTAAGCATACATTGCCAATATACATATATTCTAAGTGGTTGTCATGCAAATTGAATTTCACACCCTCTTCTCAGTATTATGATATACAAATTCCTTCAAAGTATACTTTGAGCAAACAGCTACATACACAGTTGAAATACATAAGTGAACTATTCATTCAGCTTCTTCTGTAATCCAGACAACAATTACTGAGAGCACAGGCAGTGCAGTTAAGCTGCTCAGGCTGGTCAAGGATCTAACCAATGCCAGTTGATTTGACAATGAAGGAGCAGCACAGTGATGAGATCACCAACGAGCTCTTCCCTGTCAACGTTAAAGGTAAGTATACAAACCAAAGCTCAAACGCACGTGTGTATGTATATATGCAGTGGCTATAAAAAGTCTACACACCCCCTGTTAAAATATCAGGTTTCTGTGATGTAAAAAAAATTAGACAAAGATAAATCATTTCAGAACAGTTTTCACCTTTAATGTGAACTATAAACTGTACAACTCAATTGAAAAACAAACTGAAATCTTTTTTTTCGGGGGGGGGGGGGGGGGGCGTAAACATAAAAAACTAAAATATTAAAATAATGTGGTTGCATATGTGCACGTACACTCTTAACTTGGGATGTAGCTGTGTTCAGAATTAAGCAATCACATTCAAAATCATGTTAAATAGGAGTCAGTACACACCTGCCATCATTTAAAGTGCCTCTGATTAACCCCAAATAAAGTTCAGCTGTTCTTGTAGGTCTTTCCTGACATTTTCTGAGTCACATCTTACAGCAAAAGCAATGGTCCGCAGAGAGCTTGCAAAGCATCAAAGGGATCTCATTGTTAAAAGGTATCAGTCAGGAGAAGGGTACAAAAGAATTTCCAAGGCATTAGATATACCAGGGAACACAGTGAAGACAGTCATCATCAAGTGGAGAAAATATGGCCCAACAGTTACATTTCCAAGAACTGGACGTCCCTCCAAAATTGATGAAAAGACGAAGAAAACTGGTCTGAGAGGCTGCCAAGAGGCCTACAGCAACATTGAAGGAGCTGCAGGAATATCTGGCAAGTACTGGCTGTGTGGTACATGTGACAACAATCTCCTGTATTTTTCATATGTTTGGGCTATGGGGTAGAGTGGCAAGACAGAAGCCTTTTCTTACAAAGAACAGCATTCAAGCCCGGCTACATTTTGCAAAAACACATCTAAAGTCTCCCAAAAGCATGTGGGAAATGTGTTATGGCCTGATGAAACCAATGTTGAACTTTTTGGCTATAATTCCAAAAGATATGTTTGGCACAAAAACAACACTGTACATCACCAAAAGAACACCATACCCACAGTGAAGCATGGTGGTGGCAGCATCATGCTTTGGGGCTGTTTTTCTTCAGCTGGAACTCGGGCCTTACACAAGGTAGAGGGAATTATGAACAGTTCCAAATATGAGTCAATATTGGCACAAAACCTTCAGGTTTCTGCTAGAAAACTGAACAGCCAGAGCCCAGACCGTCAAAGGTGTTTCGACAAAGTAATAATTTAAGAGTGTGCCCACTTATGCAACCATATTATTTTAGTTTTTTTTATTTTTACTTCCCTCCACCTAAAAGATTTAAGTTTGTAGGTAACATTAACTGCTTCCGTATTGGGCTTTTTTTTTTTTTTTTTTTTTCAGCAAAGACATGTAGCAGAATTTATTTTGGCCTAAATTTATGACGAAATTAGATTTTTAAAATTTTTGTACTGAACATGTTTAATAGCAAAAAGTAAAAAATATTTTTTTTTCCCTCAAAAAATTGTCAGTCTTTTTAAAAAAGAAAAAAAAAAACCACACACACCACACAGGCAAAGCTCAATTCGTGGGGGGAAAAAAAAAAAAAAAAAAAAAAAAAAGACGTAAATTTAATTTGGGTGCAGAGTTGCATGACCGTGCAATTGTCAAAGTAATGCAGTGCAGTAACGACAAAAAAAAATTAAAAAAATGGCCTCGTCAGGAAGGGGGGTAAATCCTCAGGAGGACAAGTGGTTAAAGGTGGGAAAAGTTCTGAAATGATTTATCTTTGTCTTATTTTTTTTTTACATCACAGAAACCTGACATTTTAACAGGGGTGTGCAGACTTTGTATATCCACTGTGTGTGTGCGCATGTGTATATACATACACACACACACACACACACACACACACACACACAAAAAAGTACTTTTCCTAACAAATTAATTCAAGACCATGTTGCAAAAATGAATGCACCCCAAGGAAAGTGTTAAGAGCAAAGCTAAATTTTAGACAAAAAAATCCTAATGAACAAAAATTCAACTACAGGTAAGTCTAATTTATCATTAAAGAGGTGTCCAACAGACAGCAGATTATAAAAGAGCATTACTTAAAGAAAACCCCTTCCCCATTTCATGCTGTCAGCAATGGCACCACATGGAAGAGAAATGTCACAAGGCCTGGGAAAAAAAAATAATTTACACAAGAAAGGTGAAGGCTACAAGAAGATCACAAAGCTTTACTTATCAGTCAGAATACTGTAGCAAAAGTGATACAAAAATTTAACAAAGATGGAACTGCAACCATCTCACAGAGACGTCCAGACCATCCACGGAAGTGTATTCTGTTAACAGCAGTTTTTTTTTTTGCAGAGGCACCATGATTACACTTACACTCTGGGCTTTCTTGATGCTGTCTTCTCCACTCTCGTTATTCTGGAAAGCCATCAATATGTATCTGTTCAGCAGGCCGTCTATTGCCAGTTCCTGTAAACACTTGTTGGAAAGAACTCCGTACCACTTCAGGAAGTTACCAAGTAGCTGAAACAGAAATGAAGAATCATCACAGGGATGTTTGATTCCTATCGCCTGATGCCCGGGACATGTAGCTCCGGGCAAGTAGTTTTTTTCTACCTTTAGCCCAGCTGCGGGCTCACCTGTCAGTTGGAAGCATTCGGGCGGCAGTGCCGCTGCCTGATTGCTTCCACACAGTGCCAGCCTCCCCTCCTTGTCCTAACCTTGAAGTGACTTTATGATGTCACTTCCAGGTCCACGTTGAGAGATTCCTGGCCATGGAAGCCGGGAAAGAATGTAATGTGGTGCGATGTGCATTGCATTACATTCAGTGTAGTACAGGGGAGACATGCAGGGACCCTGGATGCCCCAATAAAGAGAACCTATCAACAAAAAATAATCACATAGGGGATTTTGTATTGTAAAAAATTAAAGCTACACCCAAGAAAACACCATCCCTCCCGCCAAAAAAATCGAGACCCCCCTATTTACGCATGTACAAACTTAAAAGCACACGCTGGGGCGTTTTCGCATGAAAAAGTCGATTGCGATACAGATGTCACATATCGCCACGCACGCCAGAATGAGAGCAATAATTCTAGCACCAGACCTCCTCCGTAACGCTAAACTTATGACCTAGGAGTTTAAAAGTGTCACCTATAGAAAATATAAGGTACTGAAGTTCGCAGCCATTTCACGAGTGCGCACAAATTTAAAGTTTGACAAGTTAGATATCTATTTATTCGCTGCAACCTCGTCTTTTATATTTTACAAAAAAATAGGGTAATTTACTGCTTTTTTGTGCCCTAAAATTAACTTACTTGTATATTTTACTGAAATTTTTCAGTAACATCATGGGACATAAAAAATTGGAGCTACCACTATTTTATTCTCTAGGGTCTCTGCTTTCAGAAAATATATAATGTTTGGAGGTTTTATGTAATCTTCAGCCCTAAAATTATTTTTTAAACTTGTGCAAAAAAGGCTCTGGCAGCAAAAGGGATAAAGGATAAGCCCTACACTCCCCTTTCCTGAGGAGAACCCAATCGGTGCTCATTACACTGCAAGGTCTCTACCATCCCTGCCAGTCCCCGGGTGCGGTGCTGGAGAGAGGCAGGGAGGGGAGGTGGAGATAAATAGTGCAATGTTACAAATATTACACGTTTAAGTCGCCATAAAGCCCCTTTCGTTTTTAAAAGCCCCAGACATTCCTAATATCACCTCCGATTTAAATACAGTTTTGGCAAAAGAAAAAAAAATTATACTTTTTTTATCTGGACAAGTAGACAACTTCAGCCATTCTCCTAATGAGACGGATGGTATGCTGGGGTATTTCCTCCCAGATCTTGACCAGGGCATCGCTGATCTCTTGGACAGTCTGAAGTGCAACCTGGCGGCATCAGATGTACTGCATGTACAGATATCCCAGAGGTGTTCTATTGGATTTAGGCCAGGCGAGAGTGACTGCCATTCGATGGTATCAATTCCTTCATCTTCCATGAACAGCAGGCATACTCTTGCCACATGAGGCCGGGCACTGTAGTGCACCAGGAGGAACCCAGGACCCACTGCACCAGCGTAGGGTCTGACAACGGGTCCAAGGATTTCATCTCGATACCTAATGGCAGTCAGCGTGCCATTGTCTAGCCTGTAGAGGTCTGTGCATCCCTCCATGGATATGCCTCCCGAGACCATCACTGATCCACCACCAAAACAGTCATGCTGAATGATGTTACAGGCAGCATAACGTTCTCCACGGCTTCTCCAGACCATTTCACGTCTGTCACATGTGCTCAGGGTAAACCTGCTCTCATCTGTGAAAAACACAGGGCGCCAGTGGCGGACCTGCCAATTCTGGTGTTCAATGGCAAATGCCAATCAAGCTCTATGGTGCCAGGCAGTGAGCATAGGACCCACTAGAGGATGTCGGGCCCTCAAGCCATCATCATGAAGTCCGTTTCTGATTGTTTGGTCTGAGACAATCAAACCAGTGGCCTGCTGGAGGTCATTTTGTAGGGCTCTGGCAATGCTCATCCTGTTCCTCCTTGCACAAAGGAGCAGATACCAGTCCTGCTGATAGGTTAAGGACCTTCTATGGCCCTGTCCAGCTCTCCTAGAGTAACTGCCTGTCTCCTGGAATCTCCTCCATGCTCTTGAGACTGTGCTGGGAGACACAGCAAACCTTCTGGCAATGGCACGTATTGATGTGCCATCCTGGAGGAGTTGGATTGCCTGTGTGACCTCTGTAGGGTCCAGGTATCGCCTCATGCTAACAGTAGTGACACCCTAGCCAAATGCAAAACTAGTGAAAAACAGTCAGAAAAGATGAGTAGGGAAAAAATATCAGTGGCCTCCACCTGTAACACCATTTTTTGGAGGGGGTATCTGTTTGTTGCCCATCTAGTGCACCTGTTAACTTCATTAACACCAAAGCAGCTGAAACTGATTAACAACCCCCTCTGCTACTTAACTGACCAGATCAATATCTCAGGAGTTAATTGACTTGATGCTATATTCTGATAAAGTGTTTTTAATTTTTTGAGTAATTTATATTCCAGGAATTTTTTTTTTTGTCCTACAAAGAGTTGGGAAGAGTTAAAACATATCAAGTTTTTACTTCTGCATTTATACATATTTCGAATTTTGTCATCTGCAAGCCGTAAATGGCTTTTTTTTTTGTTGGTGGGAAGGGTTTTTGGAACTCTGACAGGCCTATTGTTTTCTGTAAGCCATTTTGGGGAGTGCAGACAGGATTTTTTTATTTCGAATTTGTAACTGTTTAGGTTTATCTTTCAGCTCTGGTCAAGGAGATGCACACATCTAAAAAACTAAGTTTTGTAATGCATTAATGACAAATTACCCAACGTGTCCTTTCACAGAAGTGTTTGGGCTCCTTATAGTTATTATATGCCTCAGGTAAATAGCCCCTTACTGCCGAGCTGAGCACTTTCACGTTACACCAAAAATAGAATACAGTACAATATATACTGTATCTTGTGGCTGGAGGATTACTTTACATGTACAGAAATAATTTCATGTTATTACCTTCACAGATGACCAGAACTGGCGCTGAAAGAACACACATGGCCCCGAATTTTTATTCTCTATAACGCTAAGAACAGAAGATTTGACAATGATGAGAACACTACTCGCTTTTGAATACATTTATACATCAGAAGGTGAAAGACAAAGAATGGGAATGAAACAGAAATGAATTTACTATTTTAGTTTTAGAAAACACACCAAAAAAAAAAAACTTTACATAGCATTAAAATGTGCAAAAGAAAGAAAGATTCATACATTTTAAGCCAAAGTAGCTGGAAAAGGATAAGGTCTTACTTTTTAGGATACAATGGCATGAAGACATCATCGTCCAAAGTCCTTCTCATTCTTACTAATAAAGCTTTGAGTAGTGCCTGGAAAGGAACAAAGGATACATATTTTAAATTTCAGATTTTGTTCTCAACACCAGCCTGTAACACTTTGAAAAGCCATTACAAATAGTATTTTTTCAGTTTGCATAAATATATCCTGCATGTCTTTTTGCACAGATCTGCAATAGGCCGACCACTGTCCCGCTTCTGTTTATGCTTCCCATTCACACAATAACCATCTGTGTACTATAAAGGGTGCTAAAATCCTATTGGATAAGGAGTAGGTAAGTCACTACTCCTAAACTTGTTGGCAGGTGGTGGGGCTGTAGATGAAAAAGTGAATCGTGCCCCATGGCCCCCCCCCCAAAAAAAAAAAAAAAAAAAAAAAAAAAATAAATATGGAAAAGGGTCAAATGAGGATAAAAGCATACTGTATTAGCTGGAGATCTGTTAACTAACCAGTTATATTTAAAGCAGCTCAATACTCACCTGCCCAAAGGTCCTGCACCAGCATCATCTTCTGAGTGCCAGTCTCTGGGCCATTTCTTTGGCTGGTAGGTGTGACACCACTCCTGCTCATGCACAGGAAACCCATCATCTCAGCACTCAGCTGAGTTTACAATGGCACTGCACAGCGCCAGAGGAAACATCAAGCAGGCATATTATTGCAGAAGAGATAGTGCACGTCTCTTCTGCAATAAAAGTCTGGGGATTTCCACCTTTAGACCAATGAGCTAACTGTAAGGGCTCATAGAAGGGCAAACAATAATATGCGTGAAGATCCATTGTTTATATGGATCTGAATGCCACAGTATTGTATTTCTATTGGCTAATGCATACAGATACACAAAGCTCTGCAATCTGGAGTTCAGCTGTGTAAAAACAGAAACATTTGCATCCAAGGTACTGCATAAGAACTGTTATTTATACCGTACTCAAACATTTCTGCTAATGTTTACATGTGTACAGCACTAATGTACTCTGTGGAAGACACTCAGGGTCAACATGTAATTAGGGATCCCTGTACTGGTTATTAGGCACTATGGAATTGACATGTTAGCCCTGAAAGACTCAGCCCTGGCAACCAAGGACACTAGGTGGCGGGAGCAGCTTGCATCTTAGGACCTAAGGGGGCAAGAGCTACCGATATCCTATTAACCATTACAGTACATATGCATGGTACACATGCAAAAATTAGCACAAGCTTTACATACATGCAATGTATGAACAAGATTTCACATAGGATCTCACTGCCTGAAGGTCCTACGTATCATATACCCCCTGTGTATTGGGCCTAAATTTGCAAGGCCAATATGAAGCAAATGAAGATCTCTTTCCTACACTTGCCACATATATGTTGAGAGAAGAGCCAAAATCACATTGACTTGCGCTAAAATGTATTTACATCCATTTTAGATGCGTTTTAACGCGCACTGACATCCGTTGCCATACATTTTGACATCTGTCGACATACATTTTAGAATTGTTTTTCAGATGTCCTTCCACTGATTTGCATTTTACAGCTGCGCTAAAACACACTGGTGTGAACTGGCCCTTAGGCTTTAGTACAGATGCCAGCAAGGCTCTATGAAAAGGATTTGGTGGAAGGGGACATGTTTTAGAATATCAAACTGCACATGGATGGGCAGAAATACAAAATCTTTGCAGGTAAAACAGCTCCAGTATATGCATTTCCTATAATGTAGTTACAAATATTCCTGGAGATCCAATTTAGTATTTTTTTCCCCACTTTCTGTAAAACATATCTGTGTACTTTTCTGGGGTTTTTTTCCCCCACTTCATTTCAACATCTCAACTTTCTACTCCAAACTTTTAGTATTAGAAAAAATGCTTACCGTTAAAGAAGGGTAAAATTTATCAAAATGAAAAATCATAAATAAAATACTAAACAGCTATGCATAGGATCTAATCATAGTATTTCCGTGGTGCAGGCACAGAGACACTCGATCATACATTTGTTGTTTTATTTTATATATTTTACAGTGATCATAAGCCTAATAAAAAATAATGAAGGTCTGGGTAAACTACATCTTACATAACAGACTATGTTTTTTCCTTTACTTCTATTCCCTATAGTAAGCTGGGAGAATGCACAATGTTCTAGGGCTGCAGAGATTTATACCTCTGTGTTTTTATTGCCAGAATTTACAACGGTAGGGTATCCATTTATTAGCTTCTGCATCACGGCAGCCAGTCTATTCGTCTGTGTAGAGGAGAAGGGGTCCCACACGCTCTCAGCAATACCTGGGGGACAAATGACAGACAGGACATAAAATGAGCAGGGCTGATTAATTGCCATGTGCAATCATTATCAGACATCACTGTTTATGAATGGAAAAAGGTTTCAACCTAGAGAGAGGTGTAAACAACTATCACAAAATACTCTGCTGTCTTACAGGCTTAATGTAAATCACAGCAATGCATAAAATAAACACACACTGTTAGCTTGGGGAGAACAACTTTTTCCACTAAGGACGGTAATAGAGCAACGTCTGCATCCTCCTTGTCTGCTTCTTGCACGTCACAGCCATAGAAGAGTAAACTCTCAAACCACATCATACTTTCAAAGTCACAACAATTGGGCTAAAAGAAAGGGAAAAGGTGCATGTTAAGGAACCCCTTTCACCAGCTTAAAAAATTGCACATAAAAGCATTTAAAAATAATAAAATATATATAACGTTACTTTTTTTTCTTTCCATAAAGGTTTTAATAATCTGCAATGGAAAATGCTAGAAAATGTGACTTCTTCAGGAAGAGTCACTTCCCTAACCCAACCCTCTTTACTGGCATGACACAGCCCTCTCCTCTTCTGAGTGTAACTGTGCTAGCCCAGCTACAACGCAGTCTTCACTAAACCTGCATAACCTTTATGCAGCTGCTGGGGTGGAGCAAAGATGATTATTACGGAGCAGTGGTTGTCAACTTTCAAGGTAAAGGGGCCTCAAATACAGCCCCCAATGTTTCCAAAGGGAGTTTGTATTACATGCAAGAAAACCGTCACAGATGGGAGTACTTGCTAGAGGAAATGGTCACAGATCGTTCAACAGGAGTGGTAGGAAACTGAAGGCATTCAGCAGATACATAGGAGGCTGTCAGACTATAGGGACATGTTACATGAAACCACTAGACTACTTTTTACAAATCAATACTCCTGACTGCTGGGCACCAGGGTTATACAGCATCACTAGAGGGACAGTGCTGAGTTTTCTGGGGCTGCTGATATCACATCCAAGAAGGTAGCACCCAGCACCAGTCTCAGTGCTTCTGAATATCTACAAAAGCTATTCTTTTACAGGGAGATAACATGCCTAAAATATGTTAACTGCACATTATAGGAAGGTTTTTGTTGAAATGGAAGGTCTGGTGACAATCTCTTTAAATCACCGAAGGAATGTTGGAGATTTTGTTACAAAAGAAATCCAGACTAATAGTTAAATTCAAGATTAAATACATATGTGTTTACTATTTTATCTGCCAAAAGATTTGTAATTCTGGCCAGGCATTCTTCTGTTAAAGCACACCCTTTGATTACTCTGCGGGTTCCTATCTTAGCATAACGGCTTTCCATATCAACTTTACTACTTGGAAGGTCAGCTAACTGTTTCCTGGACAGAAGCCGATAATGCTGAATCACTGTCCAGGCTGGAGATAGACCGATATTAGAACTGCCTTGCCGAACTAGGAAGATAAGCTGCTTAAACTAAAAGCAAAATGTTTTTTTTTTTTTTCCCGTTTTGGACAGCGGGAATCGAACCCGTCAATTTTTATTGTTGCCTGTGCCCGTTAGGGAGATTCACCCTCTCTATTCATCCTGTATACCATTATCATTGAAAGTAAAAGAAGATCCCACATTTCAGGTTGTTCCCAGAAAAGTAATAGAGGGGAGCCCAGCGTCTTCTAGTGGGGGTACCAATTCTTGTGACCTGGGGATCCCAAGGGATTCCCTTAATTTGCAGGGATTTCCTCTCCCTTCCTGCTTGGCTATGGGACAAGAAGTGAAGCAAAATCTCTGAAATGGGACAGAGATGGTGAAAAAAAATCTAACAGGGATTTTAATCCTACCTTACTCTATCCAAAATAAAGTAAAAAAAAAAAAAAAAATTGCCAATAGTTCTACTTTAATTACCAAATAAGTCACCTGTTTGGCTGTGCAGTTTGGAAAATTTTGTATACCACAAATTAAAAATGGTTGTTCAGCATTACATATGCTTGGCAGGTAAAAAGAGCAAATATTTATATATGCATTTCCCTTGTGCATGTAGTGGTTTGCCTGGATGTTTCTTTGAATTTACCATCTTATTTATAATATGGTATATAAATAAAATGTAGTTTAAAATGCACATTCTGCAGCAGTGACCTAAGAATCACCGAAACCATAACAAAATACACATTTTGGATTGCAAACACTTCATCACAGCAAACTGGACAACTTACAGCCTGAATCTCTTAATGGCTCTGTATTGTCCTATGTAGTGAAGAGCACAGGCATATTTGGAGACAAGTCTGAACCCACTTGAACTATCCAATCACTGCACTCAATCATAAGTGGCATTCCCACCCCATGTGTACAAGGGGTGAAGCTGCAGCACGGGGAATGCCTCAGCCGCTTATGACTGGCTGCTTGCGTTGACAGCTTTCAGGTGGCTTTTGACTCATGTCCAAACATGCCTAGGCTCATTCTTAGACCCCTAAATTGTATAAATAATTGTTGTACTTTTATCCTGGCTCTGTTTCAAAATGATGCAGATCTTTCTATTAATATTTGCACCCAAATAGGGTTAACCACTTGCCCCCCATCCTGACCAGGCCATTTTTTTGTGTTACGAAGCTGAATTACTTTAATTGCGCGGTCATAAAACACTGCATCCAAATAATATTTATGTCCTTTTTCCCCATGAACTGAGCTTTTTTTCGGTGGTATTTGATCGCCTGTGTGGTTTTTATTTTTTGCGCTATATATATAAAAAAAAAAAAACCAAACAGTATTTTTGACTTTTTGCCATTAGACATGTCCAGTAAAATTTTTTTAAAATATCAAATTTCATCATGAATTTAGGCCAAAATGTATTCTGCGACATGTCTTTGCTAAAAAAAAAATCCCAATACGCGTAAATTAGTTGGTTTACGTGAAAGTTATAGCGTTTCAAATGGGAGTATATATACACTGGGATTTTTTTTTTGTACTAGTAATGGCGGCAATCAGAAACTTCTAGCGGGATTGCGGCAGACATTCTTACACTGGGGGGAACTGACTTGGTGTCACTGACAACCTCAGTGACACAAATGCAATGATCAGTGCAAAAAAAAAAAAAAAAAAAAAAAAAGCAATGATACAAGAGGTTAACAAGAGAGGCGATCAAAGGGTTAACTGTGTGCGGTTTTACTATGTTCTGTGTGTTGGTGTTTCACTGTAATCACACTGCTTTGGATGGCTGTGCACAACCATACAGAGCAGTGTGCATGAGCTGACAGGGAGGAGAACTGTATTGTTTACAGTTTGAGATCCTCATCAATTGTTGACAAGGATCTCAAACTGTATTGTTTGAGATCCTCGTCAGTCACCGGGCACCAGCGAGTAATCATCGGCCGGGACCTGGTGATTCACAGCTGCAGGTGCGCGCACCTCCTACTCGGAAATGTGAAATCACGTATATTTATATTGCTATAGGGCAGTCGGGAAGCGGTTAAAGAGCCACAGTAAATGTGTAGCCACTATTTTACCAGCGAAATTTTTTTAATTTGCTTATGTCAAAATCTGCATATTTTTAAATCCCCCAAAACAACAAATTTTCTGAAAGCCCTGTAAAATAAAATGGTCTTGCAATACCTGCACAACTGTTTTTCACATACATATTTTCAGCCAAAAATTAACTAAAATTTAATTTAATTACATACAAACCCAAATATGGGGTTGAGTAAATTGATAGTAAACATGTCATGGCCAGTACACACCAGGACATGGTGCGGGAAACCTCACCGCAGACATAATATACTACACTTGCAATCTACAGCAGGTGTTCGTGTTAACCAGCCCTTAACACTGCATGTTTATGAAATGGCAAAAAACTACAATACTCAAAACATGTCCATAGATGACACTGTAAAGCCTTACTGGAGGGATCATCAACATCAATATACTGCACATTTTAAATTTACCTCCAAAGGGTTCCAAGTTAAAAGCTGTAGCCGTACGAGAGGACTTAAAAGTTTCGGTAAGCAAAGTCCAATATAAGCATCTTTATAGGAATTCTCATATTTACATCTCCAGGTTTCAAACTGCTCTTTAATACAGTCAAAAGAATAAAAATGTTCCAGTGTATCTTCAAAAACTTTACTAGAATCTTTTAGAATGCGATCTAGAAAGAAAGAAATAAACGTTTAATAAAGGATTCCCATGAAGAGGGAGCATACAACATCTCACAACTGGACGCTGATAACCTTGATAATAAATGGAGTAGCATATATATGATAAAATATATGAGTGAGCCAAACCCTCAGCCACTCTGAATGACCATCAGGAGCAATGTTTTATAGAAGCAAACTAAATCAAAGAAAGCTATGGTGAATGGCCACAAGATAGCGCTGACTCAAATAGAGTGTCCAGACAGGTTCATAGTGTTGTAAGCAAAAACACATGTAATCCAAAGTGGCAAAGCACAAAAGTTTAGTAAATTTCAATATACTTCCAACTGACTAATAAAAATGGCTTTGTGAATAAAAAAAATTTCATCCATATAAAAACATGCTGTTGGTAGAAATAAAAGTGTCACTGTGCTGTTGGCAGGAATATAGTACACATACCAGTGTGCTGTGACACTTATTGGAGAAGCAGATGTAGTGGCATGGGGTCAATATAGTGGTGATGACACTTTAGGTACTGATCCAGGTTGTTTACCCATCCAATTACCGAAGGTCTGGGTAAAAAGGCAATGGATGCAGAAAGCTAGCTACTAGGGTCTACAGCGGTGCTGGTGTGAGTCCTGCACTGGAAGTGATGTCAGGTCGACCACAAACAAGTAGAAACGGAGCCACAGATATTCAGTGCAGCAAGGCTTGGTGTACAAAACCAATGAAGGAAATCGTGGTTGCCATGGCCATTATCCATAGTGCTCTATGATATAGTTTGTTTCCCATGAAGTGCATAATACATAAATAGTGGGCACGGTACCAGCAAAGGTGTCCCAAGATTTTTTAATTTTCCCGTTTTGTATATCTCTGTACACATTGCCAGTTTTACACTGCTGCTGTAACTACAGTTGTGAAGAATGACTATACCGGGCTATTTAGATGATGTGCGATCATATTGTTACTGCCATGATTTATACATACGCATAAACCAATACACTAAAAACTATAACCTTATAATAGATTTATACACACTATCTGCACAGTACTTTATTTGCTGTGTATCCAATTGTCATGTACTTTTTTTTATCTTATATGCACTCTTATAAATATAAGTATTTGTTTTGTAAAATATCTTGAGTAGGCGTGCCATGGATATCAATATACATTACGTTTTGCTATCACAATATGTAAAGAGGATATAAACTTTCTTTAACATACAAGTCTCTCTCTACATTACCCTACTTACACTGACCTTGTATCAGAGATATTATACATCTATATCCGATATCCCAGAGTAAGCATTTACAGTACATATCAGGGTGGAGATGAGACTATATAAGCCACAATGATTAGACCATTGCAAGAACCATTTAGTGCAGTGTTCTGTATCAGAGTAATCTTCTCCTTCACCTGTGAGATCTATTTGTAAGAACCTGAGATTCCCACATCCTGCTTTTGGCTCCACAGGCACATTTTTATTTTATTAGTAAGAACGATTGTACCCCTAGACAAGCATCACCTGAGATTAGCTGACAGTGTGTAAAGAAAGCAAAACCGAGACCAATTGACTTAACCTAGCCTGTTTTCAGAGGTGATGGGTCAAGTGTTGTGCTACTCACAATATTAATAAAAAGAAAGACAAAAAAGGTACCCCACCCTTCTCCATGTTGAAATTAGTGATGTCAGTGGACGTCTCTTCATCATCGCTAGAAAGACCTTCAAGGTGTTCGGCCATCTTGCCGGTTACCTCTCGAGCTTGCCTCCGACGTGCTCTGAAAACAGCAGCAAATGCTGGTTTAGGATTAAAAGCCAAGTGCTCACAGAAATTTCATTACTCGAACATGTTACAAAATTTATAGTTTTCATAACTATTATTTTTGGTACTTGGAAGAGCTCACTATTACTCAGAAGTTAACTTTTAAACAGATTGTTGCAAGTGAAGGAGAAAATCTAGTTTACAGAAAACTAGTTTACAATTTCAAAAACACTTGGCTACTTGGTGGTCATGCATTTGAGTTAAAGGATAAGTTCACCTTCTGACCAAAAATAACAAACCGCATATTTGCTGATGTGAATGTACAATATATGTATGTAAAAGCGCTGCGTAAATTGACGGCGCTATATAAGTACCTGAAATAAATAAAAACTTTCTTTGCAGGTTAGAAAAAAAAAACTTAAATTTATTATTTTTGGTTGCAGGTCTACAGATCTGTCAGTATATCTGCTTCCCCACACGGGATGTACGAGCAAGCAGATACTCACCGACAGGAAGAATCAATAAACTACCACAGCTCTCCACTGGGCTTGCAGGCGCTGCAGCATTGGGAACATGTTACATGTTCCACCATTAAAACGGGCGAAACATGCATCATGTTCTCAAAAGGTGAACTTATCCTTTACCCATGGTTCACATATCTGTGGCTGTGCGGGCCGCGTTTTGCGCAGGCACGAGAGCCCATTCATTTGAATGGACTCCCATGCCCAGGGACACGCATGGAAGAAGTCTCTGCACTTCTTCGGAAAACGCAGCCTGTACGGGAACCAAGGTTCCCAGTACGATTGCGACTTCCAGTGCGGGCGGTGTGCCATTGCAATTAATGGCACCTGCCCGCGGGTCCGCATTCCTCTGTGTGGGTGGTGCGGCTCTGCATATTTTTGTGCGGATCCGAAATGGCATCACCCGAACAGATGTGAACTTAGCCTTAAAGTGGTCGTAAAGGCTGAAGGTATTTTACCTTCATGCATTCTATGCATGAAGGTAAAAAAAAAAAAAGTGTACAGCAGTGCTCCCCAGCCCCTCAATACATACCTGAGCCTCATCGAGATCCAGCAATGTGCACGACAGCCTCGGCTGTCCCGATTCTCTGCCTGCTCACTGGCTGAGACAGCAAGCAGGAGCCATTGGCTCCCACTTCTGTCAATCACAGCCAGTCAGCCAATGAGGAGAGAGAGGGGGTGAGGAAAAGCAGCAGTTCCGTATGTGTGAAAAGGACACACAGAGCAGCAGGTACCCCCATAGCAAAGCTGCTTGCTGTGGGGGCACCCGACAGGAGGGAGGGGGCAGGAGAGCCTGCAGGGGACCCAAGAAGAGGAGGATCTAGGCTGCTCTGTGCAAAACCACTGCACACAGCAGGTAAGTAAAGCATGTTTGTTATTTAAAAAAAACCTTTAGAATCGCTGTAAGTTAGCTAATTCTGCATTTATAGTTAAAGCGCAACTAAACCCAAGACCAAAAATGTAACACATTACTGGTCCTTAGATGTGGTGGTTGCACTAGTTTCCATTTTTTTTAGGAACATTTCTCTCATCCACTGAGACAAACAGGAATTATTGAACATTTTGTCTATTCTGCTATCCACAGGAGGATTACATGCTTCCGTTTTTTGCTAGTGTCTTAAGAAGATGGACATCTTTTCTTCAGCTCCACTGATTAAGGACTTAACCTAGTATTTCTTCTAACTTTGCTTCTTCAATCAAGTTTCAGGCTAATAGGGCGAGTCCAAAAGTGACGTTTGGGCAATGAGTTCTACTTAGGGTGCTTTCCAGATTTGCTTGACCAGTCTCTGAAAATTCACACTCACACCGTTCCTAGGTTTCCGCTGGCCTAGCACGAAAGAAGTTAATGCTCCTGGGCGTTGATCTCATTTCACTGGCTGGGGAAAATGGCTGCCTCCTGATCTGTTCACATTTGCTCTTAGTTTTTCCATGGTGAATGTTTCAGCCTCTCCTGAAGCAGTATAGGACATTACAGGTAGCTACAAGACAGCTGCCAGTTCTTGTTGCTGAGCCTGTTCGCCTTTGTTACAGCATTGCTCACCCCTTAGCTGGACTGCTTTTGGTCAAGCCAAATGCTAGAGAATTCTTTTGACCCCCCCCCCCCCCCCCCTCAATGAATAAAACAGAAAAGTTTTTGTACTCACTGTAAAATCCTTTTCCTAAAGTCCATACAAAAGTTTCACCCCTCCATGTTTATGAACATTGCTTTTTGCGACTACATTGATGAATGCTGGTTGTGGGAGGGGTTATATCCAGGGCTGGACTACAGTTTTTTGTTTGTTTTTGCCAGTGTTCAATCCTTCTGCAGTCAACTGTATACCCAAACGTTGAAGAACTCCAGTATTCATAATTGGACTCAGTAGTTTTTAGACACAAAAACCATTTCTCTTTTTTTTACCATGTACTGTACAGGAGATATATGCTGATCTTGCCAAAAAAGCAGTTTGCTTGCCACTTCCTGTGAGATGAACTGGAAGCAAAACATTATCTTACTGAATTAATCCCATCAATCTAGATGTAAGGAGTGAACAAAGGCAGACACGTTTGAAGTCCAGCCTGAATGATAGCCATGGTGTCTTCTATAAATACAGTGGAGGAGTGAGCATAGCCACCCAGGGACAGGGTGTACAGTTAGGTCCATATATATTTGGACACAGGCACAATTTTACTTTTTTTTCAGGTATTTACCAAAACATATTCAAGCTATTGTTATATAATGGATATGGACTGAAAGTGCACACTCTCAGGTTTAATTTTAGGGTATGTTGGAAGATACGTTTATTGGAGGAAGGGTTTAGGAATTACAGCTCTTAAGAGTAGCATGTACGTCCACAGAAGACAACAGTGGTGGATGATCGCAGGATCCTCTCTATGGTAAAGAAAAACCCATTTACAACATCCAGACAAGTGAAGGACACTCTCCAGGAGGTGGATGTATCATTGTCAAAGTCTACAATCAAAAGAAGACTTCACGAGAGCAAATACAGAGGGTTCACCACAAGGTGCAAACCATTCATTAGCCTGAAGAATAGAAAAGCCAGATTAGACTTCACCAAAAAACATCTAAAAAAAAGCTAGACCAGTTCTGGAAAAGCATTCTTTCGATGGATGAAACGAAGATTAATCTGTACCAGAGGCAGTGTGATAGCATGGGCATGCATGGCTTCCAGTGGCACCAGGTTATTGGTGTTTATTGAGGATGTGCCAGAAGACAGAAGCAGCCGGATGAATTCTGCAGTGTTTAGAGATATACTGTCAGCCCAGATTCAAACAAATGCAGCAAAGTTGATTGGATGGCGCTTCACAGTACAGATAGACAATGATCCAAAACACACTGCAAAAGCAACCCAGGAGCTTTTGAAGGAAAAGAAGTGGAATATTCTGCAATGCCCAAATCGGTCATCTGATCTCAACCCAATTGAGCAAACATTTCACTTGTGAAGGCAAAACTAAAAGACAGAAAGACCCACAGACAAAGAACAACTAAAGACAGCTGCAGTTATAGCCTGGCAAAGCATCAGAAAGTAGGAAACCCAGTCTTTGGTAATGTTCATAGGTTCCAGACTTCAGGTAGTCATTGCCAGTAAATGATTCTCAACAAAATATTAAAAATGAACAATTTATGATTATATTCATTTGTCCAATTACATTTGAGCCCCTGAAAATGGAGGGACTATATATAAAAATGGTTGCAGTTTCTAAAATTTGTGCTTGATATTTATGTTCAACACCTTGAATTAAAGCTGAAAGTCTGCACTTCAAATTCATTTGGATTGCTTTCTTTTAATTTATTCTGATGGCATACAGAGCCAAAAGTATGAAAATTGTGCATGTGTCTAAATATATATGGACCTAACTGTATATTATTTTCAGGATTATCATGTTAAAATAAAGAAAACCTAAAAAAAAAAAAAAAAGCATGCACCACCTCTAAAGACTGGTAAGCAGCAATATATTTTTGAGATATGCTGCAGGACAAAAAATATACATGTGTTATATACATACACTGCTGAAAAAAAAAATTAAAGGAACACTTTTTAAAATCAGACTATAGCATCAAGTCAATGAAACTCCTGGGATAATGATATGGACAGTAAAGTAACAGAGGAGGTTGTTAATCAGTTTCAGCTGCTTTGGTGTTAATGAAATTAACAAGTGCTCTAGATGGGCAACAATGAGACGACCCCCAAAAGAATAATGGTTTTACAGATGGAGGCCACTGTCGTTTTTTTACCTACTCATCTTTTCTGATTGTTTTTCACTAGTTTTGCATTAGGCTAGGGTCAGTGTCACTACTGGTAGCATGAGGCGATACCTGGACCCTACAGAGGTAGCACAGGCAGTCCAACTCCTCCAGGATGGCACATCAATATGTGCCATTGCTAGAAGGTTTGCGGTGTCTCCCAGCACAGTCTCAAGAGCATGGAGGAGATTCCAGAAGACATGCATTTACTCTAGGGAGAGCTGGACAGGGTCGTAGAAGGTCCTTAGGACAGGTATCTGCTCCTTTGTGAAAGAAGGAACAGGATGAACACTGCCAGAGCCCTACAAAATGACCTCCAGCAGGCCACTGGTGTGAATGTCTCTAACCAAACAATCAAACAGACTTCATGAGGGTGGCCTGAGGGCCCGACGTCCTCTAGTGGGCCCTGTGCTCACTGCCCGGCACCATAGGGCTCAATTAGCATTTGCCATTGAACACCAGAATTGGCAGGTTCACCACTGGCGCCCTGTGCTTTTTCACAGATGAGAGCAGGTTCACCCTGAGCACGTGACAGACGTGAAAGGGGCTGGAGAAGCTGTGGAGAATGTTATGCTGCCTGTAACAGCATTCAGTAGGACCGTTTTGGTGGTGGGGGTCAGTGATGGTCTGGGGAGGCATATCCATGGAGGGACGCACAGACCTCTACAGGCTGGATAATGGCACCCTGACTGCCATTAGGTATCGGGATGAAATCCTTGGACCCATTGTCAGACCCTACGCTGTGCAGTGGGTCCTGGGTTCCTCCTGGTGCATGGCAATGCATGGCCTCATGTGGCAGGAGTATGTAGGCTGTTCATGGAGGATGAAGGAATTGATACCATTGAATGGCCCACACACTCACCTGACCTAAATCCAATAGAACACCTCTGGGATATCATATTTTGCTGCCAGGTTGCACCCCAGATTGTCAAGGAGCTCAGTGATGCCCTGGTCAAGATCTGGGAAGAAATACCTCAGGACACCATCCGTCGTCTCATTAGGAGCATGCATACAAGCACATGGGGGGGCCATACAAACTACCGACTACCATTTTTGAGTTGCTGCAATGAAATTTCAGCAAAGTTAACTAGCCGGCTGCATAATTTTTTCACTTTATTTTCGGGGTGTCTTTGAATTCAGTCCTCTGTAGGTTGGTAATTTTCATTTGCATCAAATGATGGGGCATCCTTATGTTCCTAACACATTACCCAGTCCATATCAGTATAGATATCCACAGCATGATATTTTTCCCCATTGAGATCTTATGCATTTTCACAGTGTTCCTTAAATTTTTTTGAGCAGTGTATATTAAAAAAAAAAAAAAAAAAAAAAAAAAAAAACAACAACACACACAAGGAAGCAGCCTGTTTACCTTCGGGCTTCTCTCTCAGCTATCCTCCTCTGCTTTGCGTGTTCTTGGTAAGATGCTCGATCTCGCCCAAAAGAGTCGAGATTTGGTGCCATGACCGCTTTACCTGTGAATTCACGTAACAGAAACCGCCAATCAGACAAGTTACTGAACACCTTCATTTGTCAAGCACCAAATCTTGTCTAAGATATCTATTTCAGAACAAACCATGATAAAAATGTTCCCATATTTATTCTGTTTTGTTTTTTTTTTTAACAACTCTCAGCCCCTGAAGTGTGAAGTCCAGGATTGAAAATAACGTTGTGAACAGGTTTTGATGGTTTATAAATACGACATTTTGCAGACATTTAATAAGAAAACATTTACAATCTAACACAATTCCCCAAAAGAACAGAATAACAACATAGTTTCTTTTTAAAGATAACCTGTCCTCAATTTAGAAAACTAAAGGTAAAAATCACACTAAATAAATATTCCAAGTGCTTACTTGCAGTGATTTTCCTCTACATAAATAATTTAATATTCCTTTGGAATGTGCTGTTAATGAGCATTTTATATTTCCATGCAATGAGTACTGCCCCCTCCCTCCTTGTATGTAATAGCCCTCTTCTCTTCTGAGAGGGTCTTATAAGTCTTTGTAATGGTACAACTCCCCTCCCCTCCCTACATAACCTTTTATGTAGCAGCTGGGGTAGGAGTGAACAGCTGAGTTTGCTGGGGCTGCTTACTTGACATCCCAAATGGCGGAGCCTAGACGCAGTCTCAGGGCTTTTGGATGTCTGCACAAGGAGGATTTTACAAGTGCATAATATGCCTAAAATATGGTAAATCTTATTGAGTGTTGCTGGTCTGACAACAGGATGTAGAAGCCGGTCTGCAGTTTTTTTAAAGGTAAGAAGTTAATATTGCACTATACAACTTAGTTAAGCAGTTACCAAAACTGTATTTTTCAGAATTGTCCCTTAAACTGCTTTAATTATGTATCACCAGTTCACATTATTGGTAGTTATGGTGGTATTGGTAGAAAGCAACAATCCTAACTACTTCTCAAGCTGAAAACATGAGTTCACCGGTGATCTTAAAAGGCAAAATGTAACCACTGATCTAAATCTGTAGACTGCAATGCTAGCATCAGCATACGGATTAGGCTGTTTTTATTTTACCTTAATGCATTCTGTACATTAAGGTAAAAAAAAAAAAAAAAAAAAAAAAAAAAAAAAAAAAAAAAAAACACTCTGCTGCAGATTCCCCCCCCTATCTTACCTGAGCCCAATTCAGTGATTTGCACGAGAGCAGCGGCACTCGCCGCTGTCTCCCTCCTTGAAGGTCTGATTTATAGCAGTGGGAGCCATTGGCTCCAGCTGCTGTCAATTAAATGCTGTCATGAGGGGGGCTGTGGGCCGGACCTGGGTGGGGCCAAGCCAACAAATCTGTGTCAATAGATGTAGACAGTATGGCTTGGGAGCGGGCCTGCATGGACTTTAGCAGACACACAGAGGTTCCAATAATTCCTAATGGCAACCCCACAAATCGGCAAATGGGACGCTTTTGCATGCGCACCACACCAAATGTTGTTGCAGCTTCGTCCGAACCTGCTCCACCTCCCGAATCTCACCCTGCTGTAATACCGCTCTGTAAACCTAATTACAGAGGTAAGGGGGACTCTGATGTAAGGGTACCACTGATAGGGCACTAATATACGTGTTAAGGTAGGATTATGATAGGGACACTGATGTATAGGGCGCTCTGATGGGGACACTGATGTATAGGAGCAATTCTGATGCGGAAGGTACAGGCAATTTTTTTTTCTATTCAACCTTTATTATATAGTTCATGAAATGGTATTTCGAATGCCTTTGCTTACTTTTACTAAAGCTCTTTCCCTGTTATTCTAAATCATAGGCGGATTACAAATAAAGCTAAAAGTAAAATGTATTCATTTAAAACCGTATTCATTTTTACAAAACTGATTTTTTTATCAGCCCCCAAATGTTTGTAAAATATGTGGTATGGCCTTGTACTGAAAAGACCCCTGGTCTAAAGGGAGAGGTCACTGTTCTGTAGATAGAGCTACTGATAACTGTAAACAATTTATTTTTTTGTAACAAATACGTGAAGATTCTCTTTAAGTACATGAACCCAAAGTTCCTGCACTTGCAGCATTTCATAGTTCTTGCACTTGAATAAAAAGAAAAATTACACTTTTTTTTTTTTTTTAGTCCTGATAAAAAATAAGGACGTAAAAAATTTTTCTTTCCAGCTCTATAGGCCACTTTTCGCTTTTGTTATATGGCCTTTTTGCTACTTTTTCAGTTTTGCCAAACTATATTTAGTCACCAGTCACACTGCTGCGATTTAAAATTGTTCAATTTGTTTGCAATTTCAGCATGATTTCAGGTGCAAATTCTGAAGACTTTATTGCTACTTGTGAAGATTTTCACAATTTCTTGCAATTAGCATTGTGATTTCCATTATATTCAGCCCCAAATCCAATCGCTGTCTAAATCTTGTAGACTTCACCTCCGTAACATCTCCAAGATACACCCGTTCCTAACGTCGGAAACCACTAAGCAACGTATTCACTCCCTGGTTATCTCTCGCCTTGACTATTGTAACTTCCTCCTCATTGGCCGACCTCATTGCAGGCTATCCCCTCTTCAGTCTATCATGAATGCTGCTTCCAGACTCATCCACCTTACTAACCGTTCCATATCTGCCACCCCTCTCTGCCAATCCCTCCACGGCTTTCCATTGCCCAACGGATAAAATGTGAAACAAACAATAACATATAAAGCCATTTATAACTCTGTCCCAAATTACATCACCAATCTTGTCTCCAAATATCACCCAAACTGTACTCTCCGCTCCTCGCATGACCTCCTGCTCTCTAGCTCCCTCGTCTCCTCCTTCCATGCTCTTCTCCAGAGCTTCCCCCATCCTCTGGAATTCTCTACCCCAACTTATCAGACTATCGCCTAGTCTGCTCACTTTTAGGCGATCTCTGAAAACCTCTCTTCAGGGAAGCCTATTCTGCTCTCAGCTAATATGGAATCTTCTACTCTTCCTACCAGTCCATCCCCCACAGTTACTACCTTTCGTACCACTAGCCCCTCCCTCCTAGATTGTAAGCTCCGAGGAGCAGGGCCCTCCTATCCCTCTTGTATTGAACTGTATTGTCTCCCATTATATTGTAAAGTACTGAGCAAACTGTTGGCGCTATATAAATCCTGTATAATAATATAATAACATTCTATGTATGTGAAATGGCAACAAAACTGCAGAAAAAGTAATGCAAGAACTACTTTAGAAATCGTGTTGCAGCAAATCACACGTTAAGACACCGACATTCACATTCGTTAGATGCAATCTCATGTGCGACTTCAATTCACAAATTGCACCTGAAATCACATCGGTGTGACTGGGCACTTAAGCTAGCCTTCTGTGTTTGGTTTATTTAATCACAGGAGAAATTAACTGGGAAGTAGGGGCGTATAACACAAACTTTATGCTTCCTAGATCAAGTTGTCCTGCGTTTAAATATACACGAGTTTAGATATATTCAGAGTTTCAAATCTGGATGCTGAGAATTCTATTTTCTCTAAACATAGCTTAAAGGATAAGTTCACCTTATGTAACATATTCAGGGTGTAACATGTTACAGTCAGATTGGCCCCTGCACCCTCCAGATCACCGTTGTGACAGCTAGTGGGGGATCTGCTCCTCCCCCACTAGCTGTCACAATTTTATTTTTTTAAAACACAGCCGTACGGGGCTCTGCCCACCCGGCTACATCACTCATTCACAGTATTTTGTGAATGGGAAAACTACAAGTTCCTACAGCCTTTGCGGCTGTCAGCATGTAGTTCTTAATGAAATTACCATGGCACTTCACAGGACCATGGTAGTTCATTGATCCTTCCTGTCAGTATGTGCTTGCCTGTGCAGGATGTACAAGCAAGTAGATATACTGACAGGTCAGGAGGAGACCTGAATGGCATCAGCGAGAGCCATACAAAGCAGTGTGCTTACAGTTGAAAGCACAAACACAGCATACTGTGAAACAGCACACAGTTAACCCATTGATCGCCCCACATGTTAATAACTTCCTGCCCAGTGCCATTAGTACAGTGTGAGTGCTTTTTATTAGCACTAACCACTGTATTGGTGTCACTGGGGATGTCAGTGACACCAAGTCAGTTCCCTCCAGTGTCTGAATGCAAGCCGCAGTCCCGCAATAAGTCGCTGATCGCCGCCATAACTAGTAAAAAAAAGAAAACAAAACACACTTCCAATATATATACCGCCAAAAAAGGATGTAAATTTCATTTGGGTGAAGTGCTGCATGCCAGTGCAATTGTCAGTTAAAGTAACGCAGCGCCGTAAAGCAAAAAATGGCCTGGTCAGGAAGTGGGGTAAATCCTCTGGAGGATGATCTTTGATCTCTTTCATGTTGTTCAGGTAGATCTCCACCTCACAAAGGCTGCCTACCCGTGCTTTAGAGGCTCCACAAACAAAAAATAATAAATGCAATTTTTTACCTGCAAAAAAATGTGCATTTATTATTTTTTGTTAAAAGGTTAACTTTTCCTTTAACGGAATGCACCTAAATGAACAGCATGAATGGGAACAATAAACATTACATATTTTTGCATGCTTTTTGAAGCATGCGTCTTATAAACACATGTATGTCATTGCCCATGTGATTGAGGTCTATGTGCACTCCCTACCTGCACATATAAGTGCGTATAATTAATGGAAGCAAAATATGTACAAAACCATTACACGTTCACTTTTAGCACATTTATCCTTTAATTGACTCTCCTTGTCTTCCTTCCTCTGGGGCAGCTGCACAGTTGCTGCTGCAGAATTCTACTATCTGGGCTCTTTTCATTCATTCCTACGTGCTGATTTTTTCTGAGCAAACAGACTGAGCCGAGAGAAATTTACAGCAGCAGCATAGCATATAGCAGCAGCATAGTGACAGCAAGCATAAGATTTTGTTGGTGGGGTAATGGAGGGTAATTTTAGAGGGCAACTAAAGTATAGTTACCCTTTGAGCAGTTATAAAACACAAAATACACACTTGTTCCTAAAATGAACCCATACTTTGACTACAGCAGACAAAGTAAGGAAGGCCATAGATGGGTTAGTTTTTTCGTTCAACCTGCTAAAAAAACAGAACACTTTTGAGGTGGCTGGGGGAATCCTCCCCGTGGGGAAGCCTTAAGGTTTTTTACCTTAATGCATTCTGTTCATTAAGGTATAAAGCCTCCTATTGCAGAGGATCCCCCCCTCAGCCCCCCTTATACTTACCTGAGCCCGATCTTGATCCAGCAATGTGCATGAGAGCTGGGCCATTGGCTCCAGCTCCAGTCAATCAAATCATATGATGAGGGTCCAGAGCTGAACTCTGCTGTCTGTGTCAATAGACATAGATAGCTGGGTCTGGGAGTGAGCCCACACATATGCTACCATAGTAGGCTTCCTGTGATGGCTCATGGAAAAGAGGAGGAGCTGAGAGTGCTGGCTGGGGACCCCAGAAGAGGAGGATTAGGGCTGCTGCTCAAAACCATTGCCCAGAGCAGCCAAGTATAACATGTTTGTTATTTTAATAAAAAAAAATGGAAACTTTAATATTTTAATCTGGGCTCAAGCCTAGCAGGTAGGTGTTGACTACAGTGCCTCCTGAAAAGCAATCCTATTACTTTTCACACTATGGGGAACATACAGGTTTGCCTTCGATAGGCTTAGAAAAACACATGACGTTTAAGTCACTGAATAAATGTCAACAGATGCAAAATAGTAAAGAACTGTACACTACAATGAAGACTACAATGTATTATACAGTTATTTTCTCCACAGAACCTCTGGAATACTTGTAAGCCATGTCAAGCTGCCATTAGACTACTTTTACCAAGAACACATTTACAGAAAATAACAGACAATAAGCAGTAAATGTAAAATTCTCAGTATGAGAAGATAAGGAGGAGCTGGAGGTGATCTAATTGTACAATATTGTGCTTTCAGCTCAGTTCCAAGGACATGCAAACAAATATTCTGTAAGGTGAAAGAAGAGGACGATGCTGAATCACAAAAGGGAAGAACAGGAGAACTGGCGAAGCACACACACGGCAGATAAATCTCTAATCAGGTCTGTAGACACCTCAGGACCCAGAAACAAAGCCAATATATCAAAATATTCAGTTAGAACCAAACATTCGAGCATCTTGTAAAAATGTGCATTTAAAGAAGAACTGAAGGCATTTTGATAACACAGGCAGGCTATTTATCAAAAAAAAGACATGCATTGTCTCTTCCTCAAAAATACACCTACCTGCCTTCTCACAGTGTTCGCTGGCATGTAATCCAAGCTGCGCATACAAAGCTCAACTAACATCGCCGGCATGGTCCCCATGTGCTGAGATTACTGACTCCAGCACACATGCAGGAGTTATATCATCCCCGCGCTGGCCAATGAAAAGGCCCAAAGACTGGCATTTAGTGGGAAGATGCTGACGCCAGCAAGGGAAACCTCACAGACTTCGGACAAGAGGAAAGTATACTGACTTGAGTTCTGTTCTAACAAAAAAGCAGCCAGCGACATACAATGTACATTTTTTAATACATGTATTAACCCAGTCTGCACAATTGTGAACAGTCATCAAGATAATTCAAGACCGTGTTAGGCACCATGCACACTAGTGTTTTTTTAAGCTCCTAGAAGCAGTTATGAGCATTTTTGTTTCTGCTCCTGGAAGTGAATAGTTATCCTGTGTCCATGCACACTGTTTTCTGCTAGAAGTGATTTTCAAACTTCAGCGTTTAGGAGCAGAAAAGAAAAAATTTTTCTGTAGAGTTTTTGGAAGCGTTTTCCCAGCAGAACAAAACACTGAACACTCCTAAATGCTAGTACAAGCTGGCACAAAAACTATTAACGTTTTTTAATAGCGTTTTTTTTTTTGAGATTATAAAAAAACGCTAGTGTGCATACGGCCTTAATCCATCTGTAAAATATCCATCATGGTCTGAACAAACAATCTTTTCTTAACTAGAACATAGGTGTACAGATGTCTATATCTACAGACATAAGATAATTATCACCTCACATGGCCTATGACTGGAATGGAAAATAGGTCTGTGGTTTAGAGATTTGCAGAGCGCTCAGTTACTATAGGTCACAACCAGTCTGCTTAACTGGATTCCCGATCAAAAAAAGGAGGACAAAGCTATCTCTTGATTTTGTCCTAGGCAAACACCATAGATGTCAGTAACTGGGCTGGGTATTTAGCTTAGCTAGCTGCATATCTCATACATGTTTGACATACAACTTGTCCAGACACCCGTGGGTGGTCTTTCCTGACCAAAAAAAAAATAGAAATTTTCTATAAATATGACCAGGAGTACAGGGCATACTCTCAGCTCACTGATCTCCAGAACACTCATGGGGTAGACAGATTTTAAAGGTATATTGCTGCTATCAGCAGACAAGCCCATCTCAATTGAACAGTGGATACTACCTTAGAAAATCCAACTTAAACAGTTAGTTTTGTTACCCAAGATCTGCTGGCTGGAAATGTCTGCTGAAGTTGAAAGTACTTAAGACATTGGGCGATGATCATGTCATACTTAGAAGTAACTTCACTTGACCGCATGATTGACTGTTTATAAAAAGAATAATCTGGTACATATCTAGCAATTTTCCTACAATTTACCATCTCCTATGTAGTTGTGCAATCTTACCTAAACAATTCACTCAATCTGCAGCCAGAGAGGTAGGCCTCTACACTACAGTATAGAATGAGGCTCAACAAGCAGCAGGCCAGCTTAAGGAGGAACCACGTAAGGTACTAAAATGAATAATCAATACCACACAGGGCTTTCATTTAGTAACTACGTAGAGAACAGTAATAGTAACTCGCTGCACACCACTCAATCAGGAATCAACCATTTTATTGCAATCAGTATTGAAAACTGATTTGTAATTGCCCTCTAGCGATATGAAGCTTCGTCCGTCCATGAAGAGAAATGAAGATAACGGTTAGCTTTTGCAAATTCAATACATATCTTTACCACTTCCTGAGCACCCTATAGCAGAAATACTGGTGCAGGGCAGCAGCAGTGTGCAAGATCACACACACATATATCATATATATACACACACACACACACACATGATTTTCACCGGGTCCCGGCCTGTGATTTCCGAGGATCTCTGATGGGAAGGATAACTGTTTTGTTTACTAACAGTTCTCCCCCCGTCAGCTCAGGCACACTGCTTACAGTGAAGCACATGGACACAGCCCCCTAGTAAAACACTCCCAGCACACAGTTAACCCTTTGATCGTCCCTCATGTTAACCCCTTGCTGCACAGTGCCATTAGTACAGTGTCACTGCTTTTTTTTTTTTTTTTTAGCACTGATCACTGTATTGGTGTCACTGGGGATGTCAGTGACACCAGATCAGTTCCCCCCAGTGGCAGAATGTCCGCCGCAGTACCGCTATAAGTCGCTGATCGCTGCCACTACTAGTGAAAATTAAAAATGAATTAAAAAATCCCAGTATATATAACGCCATTTGTAAACGCTATAACTTTCACGTAAACGAATTAACATGTATTGGTATTTTTTTTCTAGCAAAGACATGCAGCAGAATACATTTTGGTGAAAATTTAAGATGAAAATTTACTTTTATTTTTTTACTGGACATGTTTAATAGCAAAAAGTCAAAATTTCTCAATTTTTTTTAGTGCACAAAATTAAAAAACACTGCACAGGCGATCAAATACCACCGAAAGAAAGTTCAATTTGTGCGAAAAAAGGACGCAAATTTCATTTGGGTGCAGCGCTGCATGACCACGCAATTGTCAAAGTAACACAGCGCCATAGCGCAAAGAATGGCCTAGTCAGGAAGGGGGATAAATCCTTAAGAGGGCAAGTGGTTAAACGCCAAATCTACCCAAAACAGATTTTGCTCAGAGATTCTAGAGATTACATATCTGTACGAGAGCTGCAATAAGCACTGCAATGGCAAATAATGTTATGCTCCTTTGATGCATCCTTAAAAATATGGATCAAAGGACAATTTCACTTTTAGTAAAGCTGTCCTTTTTGGACCCTCAGTTCCCTGCCCAACAATGGATTCTCAGTGGAAAAATATTACCTGCAGCCTAAGCCCAGCACTGCTAACAATGCTGGCTGAGCCCGACACACATGTACACAGCAGTCCCCACTTATATAGACGGATCTATACTTGTATTCCTGTATTTCACTTGTAGTATAGCGGCCTCTCCATAGGAATGGAAGGGAAATACAAGGTACATGCCCAGGGTGGGGGGGCCCATTTTGAAGAAAAAAGGTGCCGTCCCAGGATCACAATGAAGATCACAGGTGCAGGGAAACAAGTTTATGTATACCCACAGGGAAACCACTAAAGAAAGGGGTCCATAAAGGACTATTTATGAATTACACTTCCTGTTATGAATTTGTGGCAGGGACAGAGATACACACTACTGCAAGACAATCTCAACACTGAAGTTTCACAGGTAAAGACCGTTCTATGCAGCCTTGACCACAAACCAATAGATGATTGGTTTTGGATGGAGCTGGCCAATATATAAGCTGTACTAAAAAAATATTAATCTGACACGTGGATATACAAAGCTTAGGATTGTACATGTACACGATTAGTCCCTTCCACATGTCCACAAGAGCACACTGCAAAAGTGATGAGCACCAGTTTGACACCTAAACCAGCTCTGAAATGGTTAAAGCACAGACATTTCAAGTGATTTACTAACAAGGTTGTTTAATGAATAATAAAAACCTTCAAGATGGACTGACTTGAATGGCTCGAAAACTCCGAAGATTCATCTTTAATATCATCTTGTCGTCTTTGGACAAGGCGGGCAGCTCGCTGTTTGTACAGCTGGTGCATTGCCGTTTCAAGGTCGTTAACCAGGGGCACCTGAAAAAATATAACAACATTCATAATACCCGGCCTTTGTGCATGCATCGGGGACAGGTTATTCCAAGCACTAAGAGGACTTCCCGAGAACAGTCTACTTTTCTCTTTCCAATTAACACATCAAACAAGAGAAATGCAGTCTGTAATGACTAAAAGAGCAAAAATCAAAATGTTTGGTAGTATATAGTGCATTGTACATTGCCTGCTCATCTATCCCAGGATGTCAAACAAAGAGAACCTAAACATGCTGCCATACAAACCAGATATACATCCTACCCTCATAACAGAACCCTGGCATCTTCCAAGACTCGACTTACCTGATATACCCACAAGATTGTAGGATGGAAACTTGTTTAATTAATATCAATGGGCCGCTATCACACAATAGAGAGAACACCCCATGACAATTTTCTTCTGTACTCCATTGAGTACATCATTCCCATCTGCTTCCATAAAGGCATGTTGGGAACAAGGTGGAGAGTTGCGCTGAGTCCGCTTTTGGTGGGAACTGCAAATATGCCCCCAATAAACAGAGCCAATACTCAGACAATGTGCATTCGATAGTGGAAATGTAAATTTGGCTTATTCAGGTTGGGGTAGAGCATATAAATTAGACCTATACAAGCCTCTGGTGGAGCAAGATTGCATAATATGTAATCCTCTACTAAGACCTTTAACTCCACAAACTAAGACTGGTCAAAGATGAGTCTTTTTTTTTTTATTCAACCAGCGGGCTGAATGAAAAAAATAAAAACGTATTCCTCCATCGACACAAGTGAGGTGGATGAAAGTATCTCCCCCCGTGACATACTATTGTGACAGTGGGGCTGTCAGTATAAACTGATCAGCAGTTGCAGCTGATTGACTGTAGCTGCTGATCGAGAAAAGTTTTCAAACACTTCTGATTGACTTTTGTTGAACAGGGATGGCCACACATAGATCAAAATTCATCTGGTCCCTGCTGAACCCTGCAATCTATGTTCAGTAGGCTCTTCAGAGAGCACTTTACCAGTGGGGTGAGGAGGCATTGTATTACTTCCTCAACGCCTGTTTTAACCCCCTAAATGAAGGACTATTCCTCTGCAACTGCATGTGGTTGCAGTGTGGCCCCATTCACCTGAATGTGTTGCATTTGGTGGGTTGTAGTGCCCGCCGAACGTGACGGGGGGTATAATTCCTGCCACACTTGAGAAGCAAAACTTCACAGCTGCAACATGTGTACACCCCAGGCGCTGACTTTCCAGCTAAAAGGACAGCAGTTGCTGGGAGATAAAAATGCGAGAATTTACCCCCCACCCCAGCCACTAGTGTAAATGAGCCTTTACTGAAGCCTGATTGTTTAACATACCACACCATTAGGATCTGTGATTACCGATCCTAAAGTGGAACAGGATGGCGATGGCTACAACAAAGTTTGCTGAAGGCTTGGAAAATGTTTTGCAAAAAGCTTGTTGTATACAAAACCCTCTTACAAGCTAACGACCTGTATGTACAAGGCCTAAAAGTACCTATGTTTGAACAACGGACCTGTAAGATTAGTTTGTGCACTTCTCTGAAGCCAGGTGCATATGATTCTATATAAGACATAGGCTACCCGATTCTTTGGATATGACCAGCCCTGATAAATTAAATCAAACAGTAAATTATTTAACCAGATCTGTAGTCTCATAAGACGACTGATTCTGGAGACCCAATGCAAACTTCTCTTTTACATTGCAGTTATTAGCACCAACTCCCAACAAAAGGCTACAAAATACAGCCTCAATATTTAAACAAAACAGAACATGTCAAACCTACAGCGAGAGCAGCAGTTATTTAATAATTACATGATCTAAAAGAAGGTGTACACATGCCCAAGCTGAATATGTAGGAACCAAGAGATATGCGAGTGGTCCAAATAGAAAACCAAGAATGTTTTAAGGCCATAAAAAGGTCAAAACCTAAGATTCTAACTGCAGATATCTGGGATTTAAAACCATATTAAAAATTGTGTGTAAAAATGGGCTTCATAAAGGAAAAAACTTTCATTGCATTTGCAAGAGAGGTATGGAAAGTGACATTTTGCTTTTTGAATAATAAAATTAAAACACGTTTGGACTAAACTGGCATTGGATTCAAACATGAAAAAAAAACAAATAGGCAAACGAGCGTTGAGACAACAAACACAAAAGTACAACAGAAAAGCTTAGAGATAATAATGTGAAAACCACAGAAAGGTCTGAAACAGAAGACTAAAAACGATTGCATTCTTACCTTTTCACGGAAACACTCAAGCAAGTCTTGGACATACCCTCGCATTTCTTGTAAGAACTGATACCGTTCGGCATTATCCCCAGAACACCCTTCTAATCGGCTAATTGCTTTATTGGAGTCTTGCCGGCTTTGATCATGCTTCTCATACATTTCCAAATTTGCTTTGTGAGTTTCCTCCATTGCTCTGAGCCTGGTATAAAATGTTACATGTGAGCATGTTTATGTCTGTTTCTATTTCTGCACACAAAGTATTAGCAACAATAGCTCCTAACTTTAATCCATGCACCATTTTTTCAGACCTTACACCAAACAAAACACATTCCAGCCTAGTAATACACGTGTGTAGAAAGAAGTGAGTCCTTAAGCCCTTCTTCACACCAATGCGATTTGACAGTTCAAAAATTGCACGACAAGTTGCACCCTATTTGTGCTTATGGAACCACTCAAATCGGTGCGCCTGACTTGCACCCATTTTGAAAAAGGTTGCTGAACTATTTTTTTGTCAATTTCATGTGCAACTGGCATTGACATCTGTGCATGAAGTTAAACAGATGTCAGCAAGCCACACATGAAATCGCACTGACCGGTGGCTTTGAAATCGCACTACTTCAACTGAAGTAGTGCAATTTCAAAGCCGCATTCGGTGTGAACCAATACCAAATGATATTAGAAATCCATAAACATCTAAAACAGAGATCTCACTCTAAAAAGAGCAACCATTTAAAATGTAGATACCAACGTATCTAAGTTTTGCAAAAATACTGACACAAAAGCAAAAGAATAAATAGTACAAAGGAAAACCTTTCACCAATAGGATAGCACAATTGCTGCACAAGCTGTTTTGTGATTAAGGTCATTAAAATTACTTTTCCACCTTACTTTGCAGCTGCTGTAATCTTCTAAAAAATAAAATAAATGTAAAAAAAATTACAACCACATTGTGTTTTTTATACACTGTTGGTGTACAGAATGCCTCACACATCTAACTTTGTTCTCAGCTCACCATGTTAGCTGGACGTTGCACTGATACAAATCAAGTTATAGACATCCCTTGCAACAGTTATTTAATTTTTGGTGAGATACTTGCTAAAGTTGGCCATATATGGATCGAATCTTGGTCAATTCAGCAAGGACCGTCTGAGATTTGACCCATCTTTGGGCAGGATGGTTGTACTGAAGTTGATTCAGCAATCGACTTCAGTAAAACCAGCCTGTCATGTTTTTTTTCATGCGATTACTGTCAGCGGCTATAGCCACAAGCAGTGATCATTTAGTTCTGCTGGCAAGGAAGGCTCTCCGCCTGCAGAACACCATAACACTGTGAGAAGTATTTCCCCATCACTGACTGTGTTGATGGGGGAATCAAGCAATTTTCTTCCCTTCCACCCCTGGTGGAAGGAAAGAAAACTGCATATTCTATGGGCTGCTTAAGGGAGAAATCACACTATATGCAGCGACAGATGTTCTACCGTATGCGCAAGCTTTTCTTATAGTGTGAATTCATCCTAAGGCTAATCACTCTCCAAAAAGGATGCAGACGCTTTAGCCTTTTCTCATTAGAAAATTGAGATTTGCTCAAGTGAATGTAATAAAACAGACCCTTCCATTCACAAATTAATAAGAATGGGCATGCAACAGTTATTTTTCCTAACAGAGAATTGTTCACAGTTTGTTTTCTTATCAAAACTGAAGGAATAATTATCCTATTATGTACAACTTTGTGCTTGGAGTAAAGAAGTCTATAAAAAAAAAAAAAAGAAGGTATAATTTAATTTCCAAAACAGAGCAACTCATAGATTTGTGCCCGGGTTCATTATATTGTACAACGATAAAATGAAATGCTGCATATGTAGGCTTAACCTTGTATACCTGTGGCCCTCTGTGAAACTCATTGTCATCTCTATATTTGGTCCTCAAGTCCTAGTGACACAGCCCTGGCCCAGAAAGCAACCTCAGTAGGCAAGCCATTTGCTCAATTCTTGATTCCATCCGACTTCTTCAGTTCATTGTTGTTACACAAAAGTTTTACGGTTCCTGGTCCCATACAACAAAGGCCAGAGCAACTGAAAGCCTGTGGTAGTCCCCCAAAGTAAAGCTAGTCTGCCCTACCTGTCTTTAAGCTGGTTCTTTACCAAATCAATAGTAACAGGAGTCATCTCATTATTGGGAGTTTTGAAAGAGACAGAATTATCTGGTTTTGGAGGTTTTGTTTCAGCAGATCCGAAAGTAGAATAGGTGTAAGGGACATTATAAGATGAACCATAGGGTATTCCTTGGTAAGTGCTTGGGTAGAACAAATTATTTGTCTCGGCAGGCTGGGGTGCTTGGACCTGAAAGAGAAACATAAAATATTAGCTAAACTAAGCAGTCATGAAAGCTTTTTTAATAATATATTGAAATTTACAAGTTCTTTCATCTGATGATCCTGCAAACAAGTGTGTTAAAGTAGAATTCCAGCTAAAGCCAAATTAGTCTTAAAAGTGTTACTAAACCCCGGACCCTCCACTATATCTGCTCTCCCACAGTTCACAGAACATGGAACTGCAATTATTGTAGTAAATATAAATGGCTAAATACCTTTTCTCATCAGCAGTTAGAGCAGTCTTGTGGCTTCTGTGCCCAGCCCAGCACTAGCTAAAGCTTGAAGGAGGAGTTTTTTTTTCTGCTCCAAGAAGATGGAAATACCCTGACCTCTGTCTGGACAGTGCTGATTTGGCCCTGTGCTGATCATATGTACTCTCCCAAGAAAAAAAAAAAAAAACTTCTCCAGCAATATACACCAAACTGAGCATGTGCATGCCTACGGTTCAGTCTGGAGACAAGTGGTGGTCACTTGAAAAAGGGGATGAACAGAGAAGAAAGGATCAAACAGCCTTTTCTACACAATGCAGAGGATTAACCCCTTAGGTTCCACAGGGAGTATAACAAGCATGCTTTACTGCATATACAGACTGATTTTACTGTTGTGGGTTTAGTAACACTTTAAAGCTGTTCCAGTTTTGTCATTTTAAATAGTTTATTTGGACCAAGCCGGAGCAGTTTCACCAATTTGGACAAAGGACCTTCAAATTCACAGCATCAGTCTTCAATCTGAAAGGGTAAATGGGGAACTGCTAGACCCAGTCAGGTTTTACTGCAATCTTGGACTCTGCCACAGAGATTTCCCCTCACATCCTGTTCTGAGAAAAACCTTTTGCCAGAAAAGAAGCGAGGGGGACTCTTACATAGCAGCTATTTTTTTTATTTTAAGTAGAGAATTGGAAAATTAGAACTCCTGGTAAGGCTAATTTCTGTCTGCAACCCTGCAGCAGATTTTCCCTTACTTCCTGTTTAGTAAAAAACAGGAAGTGAGGTTAAACCTCTCTAACAGAGCCCTGGATAAACCCAACAAGACTGGTAAACCTCAACCCTAGCCAAAATTAAAAAAACAAAAAAAAATGGGTTAGATATAAAATGTTAACTCGAACTGTATAAAACATTCTGCTATTATATGCAACTAGTATAAAAAAAAAATGCCCACCTGTGGTATACTAATTCCTTTACGTATCTGTTCCTGTTCCCAGCGACTGATTTCTTCATCTTGCTCCCCTGTTGCAAGAGCTTCGTCGTCGCTTCCCTCGATTCCTGTCACAAAAAACAAGAGTTGTGGGAAGCTGCATTGTCTGAAATATGGGTCCAAACGGAGAAAAAAAATGCTGCCAATATAGTAAAGGGTATGAAATGAACTCCTTAATGAGAACCTACAGCACTATTTAACTTTCTTTACACATACTGTGGTATGTGTGGCGTAGTGTGCAAGTGGTGCACAACACTTACACAAAAAAAAAGCCCAAAGGCTGCGGTTTAAAAAAACAATAGCAATAGGGTAAAAGGGAAACTCCTCAAACTTACGCTACTTACTTTCAGTCTCTGAAAAAAATTACATTTCAGCAGCTACAAATACTGTAGCTGCTGACTTTTAATAAAAAGATACCTAGCTTTCCAATGATCTAGTGACATCATCACCTGGGTCAGTTCTTGACGTCCCCAGCATATTTACTGTGTGAAGCTGGCTGTGACTCCTTGCGACTTTACAATCAGCTTCCCACTGTGCAAGTGAAAGTCAAGCAGTGCTATGTGAATGGCTCCGCAGCCTCCCGAGACCTGTGCAGTGCCCCATGAGGGGCTCCTCACAAGATCTCCTTCGCTCTAGTTCCCTGGTCTCCTCCTCCCATGCCCGCCTCCAGGACTTCTCCAGGGTGTCACCCATCCTCTGGAACTCCCTGCCCCAACCCATCAGATTATCACCTACTCTCCCTCTCCTTTAGGCGCACCTCGAAAACCCATCTCTTTAGGGAAGCCTACCCCACCCCCTGCTAACTTGCCAACCTCCTCCACTCTTCCTACCACCCCATCCCCCACAGCTATCTCCTCCTGTGCCACCATCCCCTCCCTCCTAGATTGTAAGCTCGAAAGAGCAGGGCCCTTAATCCCCTCATGTTTTGCATTGTATTGTTATTCTGTCACATGTTCTGTCCCCCTCTGTAATGTACAGCGCTGAGCGAACTATTGGCGCTTTATAAATACTGTATAATAATAATAATAATAATAATAATGAGGGGGTTGGAGGGAGTTAATAAAAGTGGAACACCCCATTTAGGGTGATGTCCCGCTTTAACAATCACCCCAAGGGTCCATTCACACCAGCCTGGTCCTCTGCGGTGTGTTAAAAGCATGCATAAAGTTTGTTGCATTAGTGCATCTCATTCATTTTAACTAGTTATCACAACAGACCCAAAATCATGCATGCAGCATTCTCAGCAGCACACCAGCATACACATCCACCAAAGTGTATTGGAATGCCTCAGAATTAATGCAACTGCATTTTGCCAACATATGCAACATATGAATTGTCATAATGCACTACAAAGTGTGAATGTGATTTTTTTTTTCCCTTTCAAATACAGGAATCTTTCCCATGCATCCAACAGCCAATGTAAAGTCTACTGCAAGATTTACCCAAACGAGTAAAACAGGAACTGCCTGACAGAAAGTTCTTGTCACTTAGCTCAGCACAAAATTAAGCACGACCTCTAAAAGTAAACAGTAATAGGGCTCACCAATTTCCTCAGCTATCTTCTGCCTTTGTGATTTCTCTCGTACTGAGAAAACGATCCGCCTCTTTTCATCATCATCGTCGTCATCGCTGGCATCATTCTCATCTTCACGTACCAATCTTTTGCCACCATCCGTATCCAAAGATGGAACGTCCCCTAGTTCCCGAGCCATCTGTCTCTTCTTGCGGGCAGCATGGATAAAGGCTGCATCTGGGATCTCTCCTACAAAATCACATCAACGGTTTTATGAAGATTTAGGAAGTGAAAAGGGAATCAAACCTTAAAGAGGAATTACATGTGTGGACGTCAGAGACCCGCCTCTCCACCTCGTCCAATCAGAGAATGCTTTGCATTCATTCAGAAAATGCAAATCATTCTCTGAACGGTGCCGGCACCAAGCAGCTGAGCTCCTGTGTTCAGAATGCAGCCACTTGGCACCGGACCCAGAAACAAGTGGCCACAACTGGAGTAGCGGTGTCAGTGTTGTGTTTGAAAATCAGGGATCTTTAACCTACTCTATCAGCAATCATTCTGACTTAGTACCTGGGCGCAGAACATTTAAAGATGACATAGAGTTGGCAAAAGAACCAGCTTTGGGTTTCTCATCCTCTTTTTCACTTTCTACTTCCATCTCTTCTTCACCAAGGTCACTGCCAGTGTTCATATCTTCCAGGCCACCATCTTTAATAACAATATTTCTGACAGGCTGATCTCCTAAACAAAAAGGAAGAAAAATGAAAACATTTTATCCAAACATGGGAATAAACAGCTTGGTGCTCCAGCACACTGCTGCCTGTTCTTGCCTCTAGTTGCACTCTTTTGTAGTCTGGAATCACAAGCTGGTTATAATCTACAAAGTTCAGCACTTTCTGATAGTACTGACATTGTCCCCACGCCTCTCTTAAATTCCTATTGTCTTATTGCAACTTATGCTTTCTAAAAATGTATTGTAGAATGTGTAATAATATTCACCTCTGGCATTAGTTTTACATTTAGCGGATAACGTATAGAAAAACTGGTGAGGACAGGGCATTAACAATCATAAATCATGTATAGGTAAGAAAAGCATAAAACCATCCTGACAAAAAATGCACAAAGTTCCAATCATACCTTTTGTGATTGATAACACGTGTTTTAACCACTAGAGCACTAGCCAGTGTATATCCCTTCCTTTCCAGGCCTTTTTTTAGTGCTGTGATAGTTTGATAATTACTTGGCCAGTAAAACGATGTACCCCCAAAAAAAACATGTTCTAACAATTTTTAAACAGAGGATTTTCTTTTGGTGGCATTTAAAGGAGAAGTACAGTCACAGCTTGTTTGGTTGTACTACTTCTGTGAATCCCAGGAGTACAGTTCGTTCTGCACTCCTGTGACCAGTTATCAGCTGAGAACGGGCTCAAGTCTGCTGTCGTGACTCAGCAGGTCCATATCGCAACAATATGGTCAGGATCCACCCAGCAGCCTGAACCAGCACCTGGCTCAGCAGCGGAGGGGTATGGCTGGGGGTTTCAGAGCAGACAGCAGAGACTGACAGTCACCACACTCTGATCAGAGCAGTAGGATCACTCAGTTCTCAGCCTTGGAGCCAGAGGCAGACAGATGCAGCATCAGATCGATACTGCATCCACCAAAGTAAAAATAATTTTAAAAAAATGTTCCCCAACTTCTCTTAAATTAACCACTGGATTTTTTTCTCTTACTATATGAAGAAAGAAAAGAGCAAAAATTTTGAAACCCCACCACCTAACATTCCGACTCCCTATTGCATTTCTTGAGTCCCTAAAATGCCAGAACAATACAAACATTCCCAAAATTGTCTAGTTTAGGATATAGTGAATAGTGCCACAGCCCAAGCGTAGGGGTCAGGACTATGTAGTGCACAGCTTGCAGATATCAGCGGTCAAAATTAGTGTTCCCTTTTGGTGGTAATCGGTGTGAGTGCACCTTTAAATGTTGGTAGTCAGTGATGTGTGCCCCTTAAATTCAGGTGATCAGTGATGAGAGACCCATAATTGTTGGTGGTCAATGGTGTTTTTCTCCCCATAAAATTGGTGGTCAGTGTGCCCCCCCTCACAACCCTTTCATTGGTGGTCAGTGGGAGTGTTACTTACAAAGGATTGGCAGCAGAGCAGGAAATGGTTTGTTTACATTTGCAAATTATATGATCACAAGGTACAGAGCCACTCTGTGATCTGTGCTACATAATGACGTCTTGATCACAGGCTTTCAAAAGAGCAGATTGTCCATGTGCGTTTTTTTACAATAGTAATCATGGCAGTAAGGTGGTTAATTTTTTGCCGCCCACATAACGATTATGTTACGTAATCGAGTCTCCCCACTGCCTGATTTATCTTCTTGAATCCTACACTAGCAACCTACAACTGCATACAATACACACAGATATAATTCTTGGGTTTCACTTTACACAGGTGTTTATAACCTATATAACCTATAGATAGAATAATCCCTGATGTCCATAGTATTCAATCGAATCATTCCTGGTGCTTACAGCATTGATCTCAGCTGTTTGCTTCTGTGTACCCGATGTTTGGCATTTGCGCATGCGCCATCGGGTCGGACTACAACAATATGGCGCCTGTTGCGCGGACATCCAGCATAGGGAAAATGGCGCATGACGTACCGCGCATGCGCCACCGTTCGTATTTAAAGACTGTCATTTGCGTCCACCACTGTAAGCTGCACCCCTATGAGTACGAGCCATTGCTCGAAACGCGTCAGAGAAAGCTACAGCAGGTCGGACGCATCACCGCCGGCGCCACGAGGGGCCCCGGCGGCCATCTTTGATCTTTTGCATGTCAGTTTTCCTGCTATCCTGTACCTCTAATAAAGATACCTGAGGATATTACACTATGTGGCCCTTTCTATTTATTTGAGCATTGGTGAAAACCGGCCAAATCTACGGAAAAGCTACATCTATTTGGATACCAGGCCTTGAGGGATATGCTGACCAGATCTGACCAGACCAGGATGAGGATACAGGAGGTCCAGTGATATTTTACACAAATGCGCATAAAGATTGCGTATCTGGTGAGTGCGCAGTCTTCATATTTTATCACCTGTTGGTCCTTCATATAGGACGTTTGAAGATCATCCCGGATCTCAAGAGCACTCCTTCATTGGACTGTTTCACTCTCCTCACTTTACGGCCACCATTTAGTGGCGGTATTAATTTCAGTCACTGTTTATCACTATTGTGTACCATTAGTGGTTTATTTATTATTGTGTCTAGTTATATAGCGCTGCACCTCCTCTTTCACATTTGATCCTACACTAGCAACCTACAACTGCATACAATACACGCAGATATAATTCCATGACGTGGACAAGAAACAAAGCATCATGCCATGTGCACACCCACAGCTGCTGAAGGGGGTAGCAGCAGGGGGAGGGGGGGGGGGGGGGTGTTGGGAGAGAGTAACCAGGGTAAAAGCATGGCTCAGTTTTATGCCCCCCCAATCTCAGGTGCGAACAAGCACTTAAACAAGCTCTAAACGAACTGGAAGAGCATGTGGTATAAAATACACATTTCATTGTTAGAACAATTACTCATTTACCTGCAAAAGAAAGCAGAGAACCACACAGTTGAATTAATTTCTTACCATCTAGTCCTAGGATAACATCTGGCTTGGGTTTCGTTTTCTCCTGATCCTCTTTAAATTCCTTTTTAAGGAGTTTTACTATCTTCTTGCTGTGATTTGATTTCTTTATTTTAAAAAACTTCTTCCTCTGTGTAGTAAAAGATACCACAAATAGAAATGATCAGGAACTACAATAGTCAGGAAAGAAGAACATATTACCCTTTCCCTTCCCTGAACCTAATTCAAACTGAAAAATGCAGTTCGTGGCATTCACACACAAACACGTCGCCCATGGAACAAAATTCCTGAATGGCTTTCACCTTTTAGATTATAGATATTCAAACATTAAAGTAGAACTAAAAATAAAACTTTTTTTTTTTTTTAGTTTTGGATAGAGTGGAGTTGGGTTAGACCATCTGTCAGTTTTTTTGCTGTGTTCCTGTTATGGAGATTCACCCTCTCTATTTGTCCTGTTTACCATTATCATCGAAAGTGGAAAAGAAACCCCAAATTTTGGACTGCCTCCAAAAAAGTAAAAGAGGGAAATTTTTCATTGGGGACACTAGTTCTGGTGACCTGTGAATTCTCTTAATTTTAAAAGGGATTTTCTCTCACTTCCTATTTTGGCTATGGGACAGGAGGGGAGTGCAAATCTCCCAAATGGGACACAGAAGACAAAATATAAACTGACAGGGGTTATAACCCTGCCTAACTCTATTCAAAATGAAAGTTTTTCATACAGTTCTACTCTAAAGTAAATCTAAAAACTTTTTTTTTTTTTTTTTAAACTTGGATGGAGTAGGGAAGGTTTTTTTTTTGCGGCCTCTGCTGAGCTTCACACCATTTGTCCTATGACCATTTTCACCAGGACTTAAAGTGAGGAGAAATTTAGATGTAAATAGAACAAAAATAGAGGCAAAATCTTCACTTGGGTATAAGTGTTCTGGTGACAACTGTAAAACAATGGATTTCCCTCACATTAGAGAAAACTCCTCTTCTCTCCTGTTGCGCAGGACAAAACAGGCAATAAAGGCAAATCTTCCTGACAGGAGACAGGCATAAAAAAAAACTTGTTGGGGGTTTAAACCACTTGATACTATATGCAAAATGTTAAAAAAATGTTGGTTGTAGATCTGCTTTAACTAGCACTGTGCTAAGAATAACTGAATATCACAGAGCAATTCAAAGAACAAAGACCTCACAGCAATACAACATGAAATGAGCACTATGCAAATGTGAAAGACAGAAAGAGATCAACAAAACTCCAAACTTATTTTAAGGATTTTAAGGATTGGCAGATGCCCGCTCCCACATCCGCTGCGATCACCTAGGCGGTCGGAAGAGGAAGTGGTCCTCATACCCTCCCTCCCTGTTGTCTTGTAGGACACGTGACAGGTCCCAGAATACAACAGAGCCATTCAAGAAGCGCAGCGCTACTTGCGTATGCGCAGTGGGCACCCAGCTGTGAAGCTGCAAGCTGTCACAGCCGGGTGCCCACACTGAAGATGCCGCCACCTAGAATACAGGACGGCCGGTGAAATGAGCTACAGCAGGGGGACCGCGGGACAGGCAAGTGGCTGTTTTTTTTAAAAGTCAGCAGCTACAGTTTTTGTAGCTGTGACTTTTCTTTTTTATAGAGTGAGTGGAACTCTGCTTTAAGTAATGTCTGGGGCTTTTAAAAATAAAAGGAGCTTCATGGCGACTTAAACACTTAATAATTTTAACATTGCGCCATTTATTTCCTCCACCCCTCCTTCTCTCCAGCACCGCACCCAGGGATTAGCAGGGAGGGGAGAGACCGTGCAGTGTAATGAGCACTGGTTGGCTGCTCCTCAGGAAAGGTGAGTGTCTGGCTTATCCTCTCTCCATTTCGCTGCCAGTTTTTGCATTATTTGCACACGTTTAAAAAAAAATAATTTAAGGCCTGAAGATGACACAAAGCCCCCCAACATATATTTTCTGAAATCAGAGATCCTAGAGAATAAAAGAGCAGTAGTTGCAATTTTTTAAGTCACAGAAATATTATCACAAAGGTCAAGGAAACGCAAAATTTATTATATTGTGATGTGTTTTTTGAATGAAAAGTTAATGAAAGTGTAAAAAAAAAAAAAAAAAAAAAAAGTGTTTGAAAAATTGCTGCGTGAATATCTTGTGACATAAAAAAATTGCAACACCCACCATTTTATTCTCTGCCTCTACTTAAAAAAAAAATTACACACATAATATATATATATATACACACACACACATACATACACACACACACACAGCTCAAAAAAATTAAAGGGACACGTTGATGCAGCAGGCTAGTCCATTTTGCTGAAATTTAGGTGCAGCAACTCAAAATGGTCCTCAGTAGTTTGTATGGCCCCCCCACGTGCTTGTATGCATGTCTGACAACGTCGGGGCATGCTCCCAATGAGACGATGGTTAGTGTCCTGGGGGATTTCCTCCCAGATCTTGACCAGGGCATCACTGAGCTCCTGGACAGTCTGAGGTGCAACGTGGTGACATCGGATGGACCAAAACATGATATCCCAGAGGTGCTCTATTGGATTTAGGTCAGGCAAGCGTGGGGGCCATTCAATGGTATCAATTTCTTCATCCTCCAGGAACAGCAGCTTACTCTCACCACATGAGGCCGGGCATTGTCATGCACCAGCAGGAACCCAGGACCCACTGCACCAGTGTAGGGTCTCACAATGGGTCCAAGGATTTCATCATGATACCTAATGGCAGTCAGGATGCCATTGTCTAGCCTGTAGAGGTCTGTGTGTCCCTCCATGGAGATGCCTCCCCAGACCATCACTGACCCACCACCAAAACGGTCATGCTGAACGATGTTACAGGCAACACAACGTTCTCCATGGCTTCTCCAGCCCCTTTCATGTCTGTCACATGTGCTCAGGGTGAACCTGCTCTCACCTGTGAAAAGCACAGGGTGCCAGTGGTGGACCTGCCAATTCTGGTGTTCAATGGCAAATGCCAATCAAGCTCTATGGTGCCGAGCAGTGAGCACAGGGCCCACTAGAGGACATCGGGCCCTCAGGCCACCCTCATGAAGTCTGTTTCTGATTGCTTGGTTAGAGACATTCACACCAGTAGCCTGCTGGAGGCCATTTTGTAGGGCTCTGGCAGTGCTCATCCTGTTCCTCCTTGCACAAAGGAGCAGATACTAGTCCTGCTGATGGGTTAAGGACCTTCTACGGCCCTGTCCAGCTCTCCTAGAGTAACTGTCTCCTGGAATCTCCTCCATGCTCTTGAGACTGTGCTGGGAGACACAGCAAACCTTCTGGCAATATCACGTATTGATGTGCTGTGCTGGAGAAGTTGGACTGCCTGTGCTACCTCTGTAGGGTCCAGGTATCGCCTCATGCTACCAGTAGTGACACTGACCCTAGCCAAATGCAAAACTAGTGAAAAAACAGTCAGAAAAGAGGAGCAGGGAAAAAATTGTCAGTGGCCTCCACCTGTAAAACCATTCCTGTTTTGGAGGTTGTCTAATTGTAGCCCATCCATCTAGAGTTAATTTCATTAACACCCAAGCAGCTGAAACTGATTAACAACCTCCTCTTCTACTTCACTGACCAGATAAGTATCCCAGGAGTTTAATTGACTTGATGCTATACTCTGATTAAAAAGTGTTTTAAATTTTTTTTGGAGCAGTGTGTGTGTGTGTATGTATATATATATATATACATATATATATATATATATACACACACACACTATATCGCCTAAAGTATTGGGACGCCTGCCACACAGATGAACCTTAACAGCGTCTTAGTCCGTAGGGTTCAATATTGAGTTGGCCCCGCCCTTTGCAGCTATAACAGCTTCAACTCTTCTGGGAAGGCCGTCCACAAGGTTTAGGAGGGTGTCTATGGGAAGGTTTGACCATTCTTCCAGAAGCGCATTTGTGAGGTCAGGCACTGATGTCGGGGGAGGAGGCCTGGTTCGCAGTCTCCACTCTAATTCATCCCAAAGGTGTCTATCGGGTTGAGGTCAGGACTCTGTGCAGGCCAGTCAAGTTCCTCCACCCCAAACTCGCTCATCCATGTCTTTATGGAGCTTGCATTGTGCACTGGAAGGGGCCATCCCCAGACTGTTCCCACAAAGTTGGGAGCATGAAATTGTCCAAAATGCCTTGGTATGCTGATGCCTTAAAGCGGAGTTCCACTCGCCCTGTCAAAAAATAAAAGCAGCTACAAAAGCTGAGTTGCTGTTGTTCCCAGTTGCTTCCACTTTGTTATAATCCCACTAACAGTTGACCGTGGAATATTTAGTAGCCAGGAAATGTCACGGATGGACTTATTGCACAGGTGACAACCTATCACGGTTCCACACTTGGAGTCACTGAGCTCCTGAGAGCGACCCATTCTTTCACAAATGTTTGTAGAAGCAGTCTGCATGCCTAGGTGATGATTTTATACACCTGTGGCCATGGAGGGATTGGAACACCTGAATCCAATGATTTGGAGGGCTGGCCCAATACTTTTGTCAATATAGTGTATATACAAATATAAAATGTTTGGGGGTTCTAAGTCATTTTCTAACAAAAATGATCATTTTTACATGTAGGAGAGAAATTTCAGAATTTGCCTGGTAGGGAAGTGGTTAATGAGACCTCCTGGAGGCTAAAAGACCACCTGATGACTCTCCTGTCCTCCAATGAAGATAATAATGTGCACATTGCTCTTTATTAGCGTCTTTTGCCGGCCATATCAGATGGGGAAAGCGACCCATGGAGCAGGCATGGCAATTTACAAGTTGCTTTGGGATCAGTAACAGGAAGGGGAGATCAGAGACAGGATGTTCGCTGCTCTCCCTCCCCTCTACCTGGTTATACCCCCCATGCCAGTCCAGGGACCGCCGTTGGGCTCACAGAGCCTGGAAAACATGGGGGTTGGGCGGCTATTACTGGAGGTGTGGAAGAGTTCCAGCAGCAGCTTTACAATACAGGACAAGGAGGGCCCACATCTGGGGGAGGTCAGCCATGCTGGGACTTGTGGGGCACTCATAGCCCGCCCATTGCTGTCAATGATGGGGGGAGGGGAGGTCTGTCACCCATCACTCGTGATACTCCCAGCACCTGGAGCCCATTCCCGCCCTCCCCTCCTCCACGCTCACCATCCTCTTCATCCTGGAAGCTGAGGAGTTTGGATTTAGGCTCCCGGGCCCGGAAGGCCGTCTGCACGCCGCCGTCTGTCTGAGGGAGGCTGGGCGGAGGAGGCACGACGAGGGGCTCGCTGACCTCCGAGGCCTCCTGTTCTCTTTCCTCTTCCTCCGAGTCATTTCTCTTCCTCACATTCACCCGCCGAGCCTTGCGAAACATGGCGGCCCCGCCAAACCGAACACAGCACCGAGCAACGCCGCGCCGAGCTCCGCACCACGCACAGCGCGCTCACAACAGCGACCCCTACCGCACGACGGCTTCCAGTACAGCGCGATCACTACACCACGGCAGCCCACAGCGACCCCTACCGCACGGCGGCTTCCAGTACAGCGCGATCACTACACCACGGCAGCCCACAGAGACCCCTACCGCACGGCGGCTTCCAGTACAGCGCGATCACTACACCACGGCAGCCCACAGCGACCCCTACCGCATGGCGGCTTCCAGTACAGCGCGATCACTACACCACGGCAGCCCACAGCGACCCCTACCGCATGGCGGCTTCCAGTACAGCGCGATCACTACACTACGGCAGCCCGCAGAGACCGCCAATACACCGTGCATACAATACCACACAGCGGCCTCCAATACAGTGCTATCGCTAAACACGTCACCCACAGCGGCCTCCAATACACTGTGCAAACTACACCACAGCGACCTCTATCGCACGGAGGCCTCCAATACACCGTGCGTACTACACCACAGCGACCCCTACCACAAGGAGGCCACTAATGCACTGTGCTTGATACACAACTACAGCACACCGCGACCCCATCGCACGGCGGTCTTCAATGCTCAGTGCTTACTACACCATTACAGCCCACAGCGACCCCTACCGCAAGGCTGTATCCAATGCCCCCGGCTCTCTGTGCTATTGCTATCATGGTGGCCTCTAATGCAAGCTCTCACTACTAGACTGTTGCCCACAGCGACCCCTACCGTACGGCGGCCTCCAATTTCCTGAGTAGTATAAGAGCGACATCTAGCGTCAGAGTCTGCTCATCACCGCACTTGTATGAGCCATGGGATTATAGCTGCACCTAGCCCTCGCCAAACAACAAGTTCACATTGGCTTTTTAATTCTAACGCACCTATAGTGTTAAAACGTTTATATCACGTTAATGCACCACAAACACCCCTTGATATTTTTTTTTTTTTAAAGAAGTGATGTAGAGGGAGTGGCCATCTCTGCATTCACATTTGAGTGTAGTGAATTTAAGCGGTTATCGCGCATGTTCTTTTGCACATTTTCTTTTTTTAGGTGTTTTTGAGCTTTGGCACTTTTTATTAGCCAATAGAGAAATATATCATCTGTTGCATCATTTGTTGCTAGGTGTTTCAGCTTTTATTCCTTTTATTATTATTTATATATTATTATTATACAGTGTTTATAAAGCGCCAATAGGTTTGCTCAGCGCTGTACATTATAGTGGGGGACAGAACATGAGACAAGACAGTAACAATACAATACATGAGGGGTTCGAGGGCCCTGCTCTTTCGAGCTTACAATCTAGGAGGGAGGGGGTAGAGGTACAGGAGGAAGTGGCTGTGGGGGATGGAGTGGTAGGAGGAGTGGAGGAGATCGGCTGTTAGGTGAGGGTGGGGTAGGCTTCCCTGAAGAGATGGGTTTTCAGGGTGCGCCTGAAGGTGAGGAGGGTAGGTGACAGTCTGATGGATTGGGGTAGGGAGTTCCAGAGGATGGGGGAAGTCCTGGAGAAGTCCTGCAGTCGGGCATGGGAGGAGGAGACCAGGGAGCTAGAAAGTAGGAGGTCTTGTGAGGAGCGAAGGGCACGGGTAGGGTGGTATTTGGGTATCAGGTCGGTGAGGTAGTTTGGGGCAGCGTTATGGATGGCTTTGTATGTCAGAGTTAGTAATTTGAATTTAATGCGCGGGACAATTGGGAGCCAGTGTTTTGTTAAGAGGTTAGAGTTCAGGTTAGAATTAGGGTTTGGGGTATGGCTTAATATTTTATTTATTGTATTCTTATTATTTATTAATTCTTTATATTTTTTTTTATAGTGTTAGGGTGATAATAATAATACTAATAATAAATGAATACATACATGTAAAATAAATACACAAATAAATAAAAATAGTAAATGAGAGACCTCCGCAAAAAAGTGGGAATTTACAGGCAACTCAAAAACGAAATACTGAGGTGAAATAGAACAATATTTTATTCCAATATCTAAAAGACACAATGATGTCATTAATAAAAAGCCAAATACAAAATGTTATATTGCATGGCTACAATAATTCAAAAGATCCAGCCTATCAGGGATAAGAAGTCCTCCTTATCTTCATGGAATATCATCAGTGGAACACCCGACGCGTTTCAGATCACTCTCTTTCATCAGGGGTGAGCATTTGGAGGAGGACGGTATGTCCTATAACATGAATACATATAATAAGTGTACACATATGCAGCATTGGCTCATACATAAATAATAGTTTACATAGAAAGAGCAAAACCATCCATCCTTTATACATTTGGATCAGGTGCAGCCATATCAAAAATGGAATGCGTCTGTCATCGCCTATTGGTACCCACAGGGGCAGGAGCGGACTGACCATTCGAGCACTCGGGCACTGCCAGAGGGCCCGGGGTCAGTAGGGGGCCCCATGAGATGCCCCTGGTACCTTTTTCATAGGCTCTTTTCAGTTTGGGCAAGGACACAGGGGCCCCATGATCCCCTATTGCCCGGGGGCCCCATGAGTTGTCAGTCCGCCCCCTCTAGGGTACCCTGCCTGTCAGTGCGTTTTTGAAAAAGACAGTTTACTACCTATTGCCCGGGGGCCCCATGAGTTGTCAGTCCACCCCTGCACAGGGGACGCCATGAGCTACGTGCACCCAGCCCAGGCACTCTCACACTGAGACCACGATCATCCGGTTGTCATCAAGAAAAGGGACCCCTCAAGAGTTGGTTCTGGCCAGCTCAGTGGATTGCTTTAAAAAAGGCCTGGATTCTTTCCTAGATACACAGAGTATAACTGGACAGTGGCGTCCCAAGGCAGGTGCAGGGGGTGCAGCCTGCACCGGGTGATACCTACCGCACGGGGTGACACCGGACCCGCTCCACAAAAAGGTAAGTTGTAAAGCAAGTTGACGATCCCCGCAGGATGGATCCGATCTGCGGATTGGGGAGCATAATGGATCGGATGCCGATCCATTATGCTCAATCCGCAGATCTGAACCATCCTGCGGGGATCGTCGGCATGCAACCTATACGGGGTGACACCGGACCCGCTCCATGAAAAGGTAAATTGTAAAGAAAGCCGACGATCCCCGCAGGATGGATCGGATTGGGGAGCATAATGGATCGGAGTCCGATCCATTATGCTCAATCCAGAGATCCGATCCATTCTGTGGAGATTGTCGGGGGGTGTCACCAAGTGTTATTGCACTAGTTGACACCAACCCTAGGGACGTCCCTGTAACTGGGTACTAACATTTATAGGTAAAGTTAAACCAGGGAATATCCGATTGCCTCTCGGGGGATCAGGAAGGAATTGTCTATATTAAAGTCCTAGTTTTTGGCATTAAGAATCATATGGTTTGATTTGAAGTGCGCCACTAAGCTTTTAAAGTGGAAGTAAACCCACTTTTGTATCTTTTACCTACGGGTAGGTTTATAATAAAATTTACCTGTAGATAAAATGAATATCTCCTTAAAGCAGAGTTCTACCTATTTTTACATGTTGCTGATATCAGAGTACAGTTATAACATAGTACAGTTAAAAATGGATAAACTTTTTTTTTTTTTTTTTTTAAATAATTTTTTTTTCCTGTATACAAGAGGCACTTCCGGTCCTGGCCGCCTAAGCGATTTCGTCATTAGGCGATTTCTGAGGTCTCCTGGGATATCAGCATCACCTATCCCAGCAGTCCTCGGGAAGCCTAATAGTGAAATCTCACGGTATTTTTAGACTAGAAATGATGCGATCGAGAGGCCATTTTTGAGAAATAGGATCTGCAAGGAGGAAATACAGACGCTGTGTTTTGGACACCGCTGGATTAATTGATTGAGAGGTTGCCATAACAAAGGGGCAGGAACTCGCCAACGCTGCCATTGCTTTGGCAACCTGTAATCAACACAGTGTCATTACTGCGCAGGCACAAGATCTGGAGGTGCATGCTGGGTAGCCAGCTGCACTGAATTTGGGAAACAAATAGGAGAGGGCTTCAGATGATCCTGTGGGGGATCCTGTGAGTAATGACAGATTTAGAAGTAAAAAGAATGATTACACTTGTGACAGTATCCTAATTTGATTGTACATATAAAGAGAATAATGGGGGTGCTTTTTAAAAAAAATTGCCGAAGAAAATGGAGCTCCAGTTTAATGTGCCATGTTTAGGAGATATTTGCTCTTTTTGACAGCCAGCACATGCAATTTGAACGAACTGCATCTCCGTGCTGCTGCTTCAGAGCGCTGTGCCATGGCCTGAGACCTGTGATGTCATCACAGCACGGCCAGTCAGACAGCCGGAGCTCGCAAACCCAGAAGGAAGACCGGGTGAACATGGAAGCCTCTGCAGCGGGGACAGAGCACTGCTGGAGGGCTTCGTTCTAAGGTCCTTCATAATGTGCTAGTATGCGATGTATACTTGGACATTAAGACATTACTTTGCAGGGGATTTTTTTTTTTTTTCAAGCTGCAGTTTACTAACGCTTTGAAGAAGACTTACAGGTATGGCATTTTTTTCCATAGCTACATTGGTCCTGCTAGGGGGCCCCATGAGTTGTCAGTCCGCCCCTGGTGGGGTATATGTTCTCTACAGGATTACAACCTCAAAACTACATGTCTTGCATACAGAAAGGTTCCAGAAAAAAAAACAAAAATTGGTTGGACGCCTTAACAGCACCAATTTTCCTTAAAATATAATCTAAGTCTGTTTGTTAACACTATACAGTATATTACACATTGTGAAATCAGCCATCAGCAATGAAGGTGTGGAAAGAAGACTACTGGCCATTTATCAAAAATATTATATCATGGCCTGGCAGGTTTGTTCGCACCCCTCAAAACAATATAAATAATTGGAGCATAGATTTATTTCAAAATGACAGTTTTCTGTAATTAGTAACATGTCTTTATATCTGTAATTAGTTGGCCTATTTAAATAGAAATAAGATGCCAATCACGGAGTTCATCTGAGC